AGAACCAGAGGGGAGTGGCTTTGCACGTTCACGTGACAAAGCCTCTAGCCTGGACCTGCAGAACAGCACCACCGTGACAACTGTCACTTTAGAGATTCCAGAGAATATCTGGCTCTGGATATTGTGACAGAGATCTCTGTGTATGTACTATCTAAAATAATTTAAAATGATGATGTATGAATAACACTAAGCATTTTTTGGCCAAAAAAGTCAATAAAATAATATGAAATGGAATGAGATGGAGTTAATGTTTGTATGATCTACTAATTCAATGAAATATTTTGAAGTTACAGATGGCTTATAATCTATCAACTGAGTCACAAATTCTGAGTACATAAAAAATGTGAACTATGTTTAGGGAAATGGAGAGTGATTCAGCTTTACACTTTGTTGTCTGATAATGGACAATTTACCCAGGCTTTTTTTTTTTTAAGGAAGCATACTGACTTTACGTAAAAAAGAGAAAATTATAAAGTTAGGAAAGCAGAAAAGAACACAAATGCACAGGAGAAGGGAACCGTAGAGCCCTGACCCCTACTACACATCGCTCCTAGCATCAGCAGCCATGTTTTTCGTACAGTTTTAAAAACAAGCTTACGTAAAAATACTGTCAATATGCGTCGGCCGGGATGCAGCTCCTTAAAGCTGTTAAGTAAAATATTACAGATGATCACTTCCTAGAGTGAATTCCACACCACCAAGAATGTGAACCGAACATCTTTAATGGTGTGCTGGTCACAGGTACAGATGAGGTGTTCAAGATAATACTAAAAAACTAGAAAGAACTTTTTGGGCGTTTTTCAGATGATAAAGTTAAATTCACTAAGAGGTACTAGTGAAAAGAGCAATTGATATGAAATGGCAGAGTTCCCTTGAAGTTAAAAAAAAAATTTAAGAAGCATCTTTTCAAAACATTCTTGATTCTATTATTTGATGCTCTTGAAAGAGGAAAAATTTCCAAAGTGTTTTCAAGGGGTGCTTAGAAATAAAACCTCTTCTTGATCCGATCACACTCTTAAGTGTCATTAAAACAAGGACATTTATTGTCAATGTCAGAGGAATAAGAAGGACAGCACAGGCCCCTCTGTTCTCAGATTGCAACGCACGTTTGTCCAAATTAGTTGACCTGAACAGGGCCGGGAAAACACTATGCTATTGCTGAATACGGCCCAATATACTTACTCCTTTTCTTTATAACACTAAGGGACTTAAAAATATATTTACTTTTCATTGAAATATCTTTTCTTATAAGGTTGGAGATGTATTTAGAACATTACTCTAAGGATAGAAAGAGGAAATCAGAAATACTTATATCAAAAGAAAAATAACTTTGAAAGTAGAGAATAAATTACCATACCCATGGTGAACCGTCAGCTAGGTGGAGGCTTTTTCTTGTGAGGTTACCTCATCAGGAGAGAAATCAGACATTAAATACAAGGGCTAATCAATCAAAGTCTCCCCACTGTCAACTCAAAAAGATATTAAAATGTGACATTTCATGAGGAAGGAGACTTAGATTTCCACACATTTTTTTTTTTTTTTTTGACCAGGGATTGAACTCAGGACCTTGTGCTTGCAAAGCATGAGGCAGCACCACTGAGCTCCATCCTTGGCCTCCATGTGATATTTAAAATGCAACCCTAGCATCCTGCAGATGACAGAGCATCAGAGCAGTGACAGCAGAATGGTGTTTTGTCATTTGTTTACCAATTTGGAGACTTTAAGAGCTTTATGTCTACCTCATTTTCACCATGGATGCCTAAAAAGCAGGGGGAATACTAACACACCCGCAGAAAGCAGAGTGCACATTTAGGGTGGGAGTTGGACCATCATTACTGGCCCCTTCATTACTCTCCCGTGGACTGGTTTGCTCATTTGTATGAGTGATTTAATTTGAATCATTTTAGGGAAACCTATTCAAATAGAAAGCTATATTTAGAGCCCTCCTCAATTTTAATGTTATTAAAGAAAATCCTGCTTTCCTTTCTTACAAAACTGCTGATCAGAAGAACATCAAGTGTTAGGATGACCCCATGTAGACTGAGTGGGATTTCGTGCACATGTGTGTTCTGTGCAGAAGAAAAAGCTTAGATGTAGACACGCACTCAGATAGATCTTTAGTAGTCATCTGCATATTTTACTGTATCCGTCAACTTTAATCAACAACTCCTGATTATTTTGAAAAAAATGGCAAGTTGATGGTTATAACTCTTGGAGTGAACTCAACAGGTACCTGAAAAGTCAAAGCCTCCAACATAAAGTCAACTCGCAAGTTTCAGGTCTGGGTGTTCCTTTTCCAGGAAAGGACTTCACTGTGGGAACAAGTGACACTTTGTAACTTTCCTTCCTACTACTTCAAGTCTTAAGATATCAAAAGGACAGGCATATGCAAATGAGAAAGCACATTTTAGGCCACTGTGGGAAGGAGACAGTAACAACAGCAAAAAATACAGAAAGATTAGGGATTTTCCTAGGGAGGGGAAACCTATCTTTTTTTTTCTTATAAGATTGAAGGCAGTTCAGTAGACTGAAAGTATAAAAATGATATTAAAATCAGAATGTAATGATTCAAATCTGAAACAATGTCAGAAGTAAAAAAGATCTTAGAGATCTGTAAGGGAAATGATTCTCAAATTTGGGGTGCTTATCAAAATCATATTCCAAAATCCCATTCCCTAGAGACTAATTCAATATAACTGATAGACACCCACTGCATCTTAGGCTCTGGGGACAGAGTAATGATTTGCTCTGATTCATTGTCTCTTATTTGAGAACACAAGTGCTGTGTATACCATACTTTCAGCACTGATTCTTTTCTCTCTTTTTTTAAACACTGATTCTTTTCAACAATTTTGCTATTGGAATTATTTTCATTTCAATGACACATGCTGCCTTTCCCCTTGGCATCCAAGTGGAGTATAGATAGTAAAATGGAATAAGAGTTTTCCCAGAACCGACAGACCAAAACAGATCAGTCTTTTTCTTTCAAGATAACTGGGCAACTGGCTGTAGTGTGTTTGGACAAATTAATTAGTCTATCTGAACCTCAATGTCATCAGGGGCCAGTAGGAATTAAAAATAGTCCTTAGGCTCTCAGAATTGGGGGAATTTCATAAGCATTAAGTGAGCTAGTATCGGTAGTGATTTGTATAAGGTAAATGCTTAAATACATGGCCATATTTACTGTGTATCAGCCAATTCCTGCGATGGTTTGTGTTTATTTATGAAGCCTTAAGAGATGGGTTTTCTCAGAAGAGTACAATCATGGAACTTGAGAGTTGGAAGACACTTCAGAGCGCTTTTATGTGTTGTTATCATGTATAAATTAGACTCCCAGAGAAGCTCCTTCACTGCTTGGAGATATTTTGCCTAACAGGATTCTATAAACAATTTTATGTTTAAAAAGTCCTATTACAGAAAGCTATAAAACCAGCGGAAGTCCCAGCCCCTCACTCTAAGGAGAGAAATTGGAAAGGTGAGTGAGTTATGTGAGGTCCCACAGCGGAATCAGGGCTAGAGCTAATGTAGTTCTGCTTCTCTGAAGAGAAGATTTAAGATTTGAAACTGGAAATATGTGTAATTATGGCTCTAGTACTTTGCAGATTGAGACAGTAAAAAAAAAAAAAATATATATATAAACAAAAATGAGTATCTGTAGTTTGTCTTCTGAGACATTTCTATATGTATACTCAATCAAAATCATTTGAAATGTGGCCATTCTTTCTTTCTTTTTTCTTGTTATTTTTTGGTACCAGGGATTGAACTTGGAACCTTGGGCTAGCGAGGAAGGTGGTGGAACCACTGAGCTCAATCCCTGGCCCCGGCCATTCTTTCTCAAATACTACACAGTGAATTTCCATATTGGGTGCAGGTGCATAAAATAGAAGTTAAAAAAAATAAAAGTTTAATTCTTAATAATTATAAATTCCAATTATGATAAAATTCAGGTCACTGATAATTTATTTTTAAAATTTTCATGAAAATATGGGCTTTATTTGAAGAGAAAAACATACGTTCCAAATTGCCAAAATAAAGTAGTTATCATTTATACTTTCTATGTTTCTAGAGCAGAGTTTTAAAAATTATAATTTGCAGGAAATAAAGTTCTTGTTAAGTAGAATTTCTTTCTACTTTAATCCCTACTACTGAGGATCACTCACCTCTGGACTGGCCCATTTTCATCTGGCACAGGACAGATGAGGAACATAACTCAACTGGTCTTCGATAACTGAGACTCTGGCATGGACTAGGATTCTTTTTCAGAACATAAACTCATATTCTACAGGCTTAGTAGCAGATTATAACCCACAAAATTAAAAAAGAAAACAAAACATCAAAATTAAATTACCACTATGAACTTATTGTGTTATGATCTGACCCATTTTCAGGACGAGGGAGGGCACCTTCTCTATGGAGGTTCTGGTTATCAAGCTTCAGTACTTTTTGAAATCACTGATTCCTCTTCTATTTCATAAAGACCAATTGTGGAATCATGGGATTTCTTCATACATAGTTGCAAATTTAGTTCCTGGAAACATTTGAATAGTGTTAGAGGCTATTGAAACCTGCTTTTTATTACATTTTCACAATATCAACAAAATTTTTTTTGAAAAAAAATCCCTTGTGTTTAATTACTAATTTATTTTAAATCTATATAAAATAAGATATAAAGAGAAAGACATGAGAACCAGTAATATTTACACATTTTAATATGCTTTGTTAATATTCAATATGGTTTTCATGAAAGGATTACTTAAAATCATGTTTTCTGCTGCTTACTGTTTATTGGCTTTTGTGTTCTAAATTTCAGCAGGCTGCATAGGATGTAAAGTTTTTCTTTTGCAGTTTTCTATTTTGGCTTCAAAGCCAAGTAGGATATCTTTACTTTGTTGAAAAAAACGACAGCATTTAAGTGCTGTGGGAGTCAAATGAGAGTTCAAAGCCTAAGAATTCTGAGAAAGCAAAACCCACTTTGTTGCATACACTCTTGGTAGCACTGACTAGAGAGTACAAATATTAAAAAGTTCCACTATAAACAGTTGCCAGTCACAATCTTATTTCAAAAGTAAGATTTAAAAAATTTTACTTGATTCCAAAATTTAAAGGAGCTGAAGATTCTTTGTCTAATTTCAGTGAATAGAAAATGAAATTTTGCAATGAATGATAAACATAACAGCTTCCTTTCAGTTATTTAGTTATAACCTGGAGTAGGAATTGATTACGATTAAAACAAGCTCTGTGACTTAAAGGAAGAGGAATGGCTGCAGGTGGTAATGGGGGAAGGTTTTACATCAGGGGCGGGTGAAGTTGTTCTCTCTGAAGCCCACACTGTGTGGCCAGGCTGAAGAATTGCAGTTTTTATTGTATTTTGCAACCGTGGATAACTCCTCTCTTGATTCCCCAAGAATGACAAGAGATTTGCATTTTATACAGTGACTCTGAATTATCCAACAGGAAATTTATTGCACAATAATGTGAACAGAATTTCAATTTTTAAACCACATCTGTTCCTTCCTAAATGATATACATGTTGACAGTTAAAATTCTCCTCTGGATCAAAACAGAAAACTAAGAAGTATTTTTCCCCCTAAGATTCTCATTCTTGATGTTTTTAATCCCTGTGCGCAATGAGGAAGACGAGGTATGTTTCTCCCGTGCAGGAGGGAGAGACCATCTGTTCGGAATAATTGTGCAAAACTTGTTAACCAGTTCAGTTATGGAAAGTCTCGAAACCCTAAAATCACAATTTTGGTTTTAGTCTGGCTGATTGGTTATACAGCAAGCTCCGCATTTGCTAAACTGTAGAGAGAGGGGGAGTAGTTAAGACTTCAACATCTTTACTCTTGATTATAATTTAATATACTTAAACTTTAAATATGAATCGCTTTCCCTTTTTTACATAAGTTATAAAAATAAGAGGCCCTGTTTGTACAGTTTGCATTTTTATGAAATTTGCAGTTTGAAAAAAAAGCTCTTTAAAAAGTGGTAATTAATGCTTCTCTGAATATGCTGTAACCTTAGAATTTTTTTTTCTGAAATAGTTGCTGAATTTAACCCACTAAACATTTGAAGATAGAATTTTTATTTAGCACTAGAGTAAAACATACTAAGGACTGAAGAAAAGCGATGTTTTTCTTCCTGGTTCCATGTGAGCATTTTCATATGTGGCAACCCCCTTTCTCACAGCTGTCAACATTATATTTAAATTTTATCTATTGACAAAACGTAAGGTACCTCTGGAAGCACTGTGCGGTTCAGATAGTACTACTAGTAAATTTACATACCACAGTTTAAATTACATCTGTTTCAGGAATGGTAAAATGCTAAAACTCAAGTGTCTAACTGCCCTACTGGAATGAGTACAATTTACAAATACAATAATTACATTTTAAAACCATGAACAATGTTACACCTAGAAGGAAATACTGTAGGACCGGGGCATGGCGGTGGGTGTGGGGGCAGCGCTGCCGGAGTCATGACTGCCCGGGGATCACTCCCAAGTGCAGGTCTGAGTTTGTTCTCTTCAAACCAGAGTCAAAACCCGTGTCTCACACAACAGCCCTGCGTCATATGACTCCTCCAAATCCTTGCAAAAAGATTTTATTAGTTATCTGCCAAGTACTTTCCTGCAAAACAACAACAACAACAACAAAAAAAAAAACAAAAAAAATTTCATCAGATTACCCGCTGGCTCGAGAGTGTGATTATTATTATTTTTTTGTTTTGAAACAGGGTCTCATTACATAGTTGAGACTGACTATGTAGCCCAAGCTGGTCTCGAACTCAGTGATCCTCCTGCCTCAGCCTCCCTAGTGCTGGGATTACAGGCGTGCACCACCACGCCTGGCTGAGAGTGTGATTATTGAGTGAAGTGAGTTTCTATTCTTCCGCCCTCCTCCTCAGAGCCACATACAACCCTAGCATAAAATGCGTAAAGGTTACTAAGTGTTCAGACTTCAAGAGACCAGCCATTTGGAGAGATCTGGGTTTTGCTGAGAGCAGGTGCAAGCATTAACTCTTACAAGTGAGAATCCAAATCACTGCAGGAAGACCGCTCAGCTAACTCGTTTCCCAACCCCGGTGGTTGTTGCGAGTGAATTCCATCAGTATGCCACCACACCAAATGAGATTTAGGGGCCGAGGGGACTGCGTTCACCCAGCGCTGTGATCCCCAGCACAGCAAAGCAAAAGAAAACAAAAAACCCAAACAGCCCCCAGGGTTTATGCCAGCAAGTCACCGACAAATATGATCAGCCTGTTCTTGGGGAACTTCCCACCCCCTTAAAAGATCCTTTGTGCCAAATGAGACCCATCTCGGGCCACACCCACTTCATGGGAAACAGTGGCCTAGGTTCTTAGGATCGCATTGAAATGAAAAGTAGACCCTCCTAGTCCCATTAAGCCTAAGTCCAAAATCTATAGTCCTGTGGGAGGACGAAGGTTCTCAAGGAGTCTAATGCTCCTGAAGTATTGCCATAACACATTTTGTAATAAATTGTTCTTCTCTCAGTTTTCAGGTGGGAGACAAATCCAAAAGCCAAGAGCAGCTGTCGTCTTTGCCCATGTAACCAAAGTCGAATGGACTCCACGGAGCTCCGCATGGGAATGGCTGCTCGGCTCCACCAAAGAAGTAGCCGGAGAATTCCTGGCTTCAAGTTCAAGGTGCATTTACACCTCATTCAAACCCTGGTCTGCCTTCTAAGTGGGATGGGGAGAAGCAGGGAGGGGAGGACCTGTTCCTTCTCAGGGGAGAGGAGTTAAGGCAACCTTATTTTTGCAAATGAATTTTGAGGCTGCCACCTACCTGCAGCGAACCTCTTCTTGACGAGGGAAAATCGATACCCTGCTCCAACAAGCTCAACGTCACAGCCAGACAGAGTGCTCCCTTCGCTTGTGAACTGGACAACCAACGGGGAAGGTTTGCTTGGGCCTTCAGATAACTGAAATCTTGCCAAGAGAGAACCCACCCCTAAAAATGAAAAGTATTATTACAATATGACGGTCAGCACAGCATTCCAGATGCAATTCTGAAAATTACATTTGAAAGCCAGCACATGAATCTGGACTTGCTACAAAATAACAAGTTCTTCAGGGACAAAATAGTGATAATTAAAATGTGTCATTGAATAGCATGAGAAATTCTCTTTGTACGCTGGTAAAAGTGCAGTTCAGCAAAACGGTACTGCAAAATTTGGGGGTGGGCACGCTGTACGGAGGACCCTGTGCTTTCCAGCCTCAGACTGTGCCAGGAAAGTGAACATTAGCTACTCTCTGCAGGGGCACCGGATCTGGGAGCAGATGGAGACAGCCGGGCTCTTCTCTGCCCACAGGACATCTGTATGGGGTAAATCTGGGTAGGCAAAGGGGAAGAGGAGGGGGAAGAGTCACTGGAGGATTCTCTGGTTTTATTGATCGAGATATCTAAAAGCAAAAATGAATTCATCGCACACTCTGCTTGTTTTTAGTACTGTGTGTACTTTGCTTCCTAGTTGGCCGATATCTCTAAGTAGATTTGGCTCTGCGGAGTAAATAACACAAGCCTGTGACTCCCTTACCTCCGTTTTCTGACTTCTGAGAGATATCAGGAATCTTCCACAATATTCTTTGTTGTTCAGCATTCCTGAAAATAAAACAGACGAAAGCTTTCCCAGATGCATTCCATATTTTTCCCAGATGTTGCTCATTAAAAAAAAATAGATCTTCAAAAGTTTAGCTGCTGTTTAAAAATTAAAGGAGGATAAACTTGAGTCGTTTGCAGGAAAATGGCTGCACCTTGAGACCAGAATGTTAAGTGAAATAAATCAGACACATGAGCCTAAATATCACATAAGTATCATTCGAGAAACCCAAGTTATAAATAAATTATGGAGCAAAAAAAAAGATGGATAATAGGAAACAGGAAGAAAGGCATTTCTTAGATGGGAGATCAGAAACAGGGGACAGACAGGAGGGCAAGGAGATGAAAAGAACAAAGATGCCTTCTGCCTACACTCTGCCTGCGCAAGACACACGCGACCGTTAGGTAACGCACGTGCGTGCTAATCAAATTTGAAAACACTTTTTTAAAAGCCAAAAACAAAACAGCTGCAGTAGTTCCTGCCTCCTGCCCTGCACCTGCGCACACAGCTTTCTCCTTCTATAAGAACAAGCGTGTTAAGAAGCCTGCGACCTAAGTTTGAACCCAGCCCGGGCAACTTGGGTGCTGTGGTGAGACCGTGTCTCAAAATAAAGCATGCAGCAGGGCTGGGGAGGCTGCTCAGTGCAGGCCCCAGTTCCAACTCCGGAAGAGCCCTGCTTACCAGATGGCTGGCGGGAGCATGGCCTGCAGCTTGGTCACACCACCGTCCACGGGGACCAGGAACTGCACGTTGTTGAGGGCCACGGCGGTGGCCATGGCGTCCGAGTTGTACTTGTAGTCGATGCGCAGGTCGGTGCTGGCCGGTTCACACCGCCAGTTCACCGCCAGGTTCAGAGGCGTGGACTGAATTCCCTGGGCTGACACCTTGTAAAGGACAGGAAAGAGAAGGCGTCAGGTGTGACCTCTGATCTGAAGCAAAACCAGGAGGAGCTGCAGTTCTCTCCCAGAGCCCTGCCTCAGCAGCCCAGGGTCCTGATGTCTGTGTGCGCATTCACAGCTCGGGGAAGAGCCCCTGGGAGGGAGCCGGTCTAGGACAAGTCACCAGACTCTCTGAGCCTCAGCTATTTCTTCATCTGCCAGATGGGAATTGTGACAAAGATCTTTCCCCACTAGGTGATGAGGAAAATTGGAGGTTGAACAGCACAGAGTCTAACGCGAGTGAGGAACTGAGGTTTTAATAAATGTCACTTAGTAATATTCATGGCATTTTGCTCTTCAAAATAAACCAAGCAGGTAGCTGTCACTCCTTCCTGATTTGTTCAAGTGAGGATTTGAACCCAGTTCCTCTAACTGGACGTTAGAACTGTCCACGAGTGAGGCGGACCAAGTTTGGAGAATCAAAGAATTTCATCCCATGTAAGACACCGGTCTGGTTCCTCAGTGAACAATTCAGTTAGAATTTCTTGATTGTTTACTGTGATGGTGTGTTGACCCCTGAGAGGTTCTGCTCTAAAATGTTCGTGTGCACGGTAGGAGCTATGCGAGGGGTCCTTTGTCCTTGGATTTTGGGCATGGAGTTTTCTGTTCCTGGAGAACACACAGCTCCCATGGGTTGCCCCGAGGAAAGTCCCAGGGGCATGATGCCCTCCGAGGCTGGACTGGTTGCTGTGGAAACTAGCCCGGAATGGGTTCTCTTATAAGATGTCAGATAGGACTTCTGATGACAAATACAACCAGATAACTACAATAATCATTTTTAAACTTTAAAGGCTGTTAGCAGTACAGTCTCTTTCTGCAAACACAGTGACACCTTCCCCCACTGCCCCTTTTCTGTCCTTCCTGCTCAGCCCAACACTTCCTCTACCCATGGAGGTGCTTTTTGTGGAGGTGAAGGGAGTTTTGGGTTCTCCGCATTTCTGGAATATGATATTGGTGGCCAGAAACCACACAGGCTTAGATTTAAGGTAGATTGCACACAATGCTAGTTGTACTGCACTCCCAATTCCTGCCTTTGTTGAAAAACACAACTGAATACCAACAAAAGGGGTTCCTCAGAGCTCACTTGAAAATCAGGGTAGGACTAGGACTCCTTATGTCACACAGTGCTTGGAAATACCTCTTACAGTGGCCTGGATGTTGTCTACTAGGTATCGTCATTACCCTTGTTTGCAGCCGAGGAAACTGAGGCTCTTGGCAAATAAATGCCTAGGGTCAGGGCCTTCAGGTCTACTGAATTCAGTGCTCATCTGCACGCCCTAGTTTACACAAAGATCATACTATAGTAGGAGAATGGTCTACTTCCTAGTCTCCTCACTTAATAATAAGTATGGAGACTGAAAGAACGCCACAGGATTTAAAAGTTTCCACAGTTAAAAAACAAATGGAAGTGGAAATGTAGACTCAGTGCTTATAATTAGAATTCATGAAGGAAAATAACCACCATTTTATTTTCCTGCGCGGCCACGAGAACCACACAAGAACCCCATGTCGAACTTCTCATTCAGGGAACATTCCATTCTTGCTCCTTTTTGTTTCTCTCACAAGCTTCAAGCTTCCACTAAAGAAGTTTAAACACTTGGGAAGAAATTTTTAAAAACACATTTTCTACCATATTTTAATTATAAAGCGATGAATGTATGTCACATTCCATCTTCCTCAGTTCTTATAATATCTATGGTGTCCATGGTTTAAATGATACTATTCTCATAGAAAATAGGTTACATTGGTTGGCAATCTTTGGTTTCCTTATAATAGTTTAAATAGGTGTTTTTTAAAACATTAGATGTCTTAGAATCACTCAGGGAGGGAACATATAAAAAATGCGGACACCTGGGTCATATCCCGAGGCAATTAAACAAGTCTCTGGGGTGTCAGAGTGAGGAGACACATCTACATCTATGTATTATCCTGACGCACTAATTCAGTACTAGCTCTGTTTACAAGTTTCCGGGTAACTGAGAAGGGCAGTCATGTTTGAGAGGTACCGGTTTCTACTAAAACACAGCTTTTCCCATCCAACAAAATATATAACCTGAACATATTTCATTATAAAATTATTATGCACTCACTGGTCTAGGAGGGGCTGGGAACGTACTCAGTAGTTCAGTACTTCTCTAGAACGCATGAGGTCCAGGACCACCACAAATACAATAAAAGCAGTGAAACAAGGTATCAAGTGACTGGAATGAGTGGCGTACCCAGGTGCTGTGGAGTCTTGTCTTTTATTGTTTGGTGCCAGGGATCAAACTCAGGACCTTGTGCTTGTAAGGCAGGTGGTGGCACCACTGAGCTAAATCCCTGGCTCTAGGGAGTCTTGTTTTTAAATAGGCTTATTTACTAGATTAGCAATAATTTCAGGTAAGGGCAACGCTGGACAAAACAGAGAGTCCTCATATACGGTACTGTGTTGTATCAAACATTCTTTTGTTGAATTATTTCTGAATATTAAGTTTCATTAGAACCATTTCATAGGATTACTGCTTTAGAAGAATCCAGATTATTTACTTCAAATCATTTGAAATAAAGGTTTTAGAGCAGTGATCATGATGGGTAATCATCCTGATACACGAGCTACTTTGGGTTAAGAAATGCCTAGCAATTTAGTACGGGATTCTCTTGGGTGTGTCTGGGTGGTCACGGAGGCGTGGCCTTGGGGTCTGTGTCTGGTCCCTGGTCCCTGGTCCCTTCCTTTCTGCCTGTTTCCCTGCTTGGCTTTCCACGGACATGACCTAGGTAGCTTCTCTTGGCCACACCCTTCTGCCACAAATGCTCCTGCCTTGGAGAGGCTGACCATGGACGGGATCTTCTGAAACCACAAGCCAAATTCAACCTCTCTTCCTTTAGATCATGGGTGTTAGCATCTCAGCCTGGGAAATCTGACTAATACACGAATGCTCTTAATAATATGACAGTGATCTAGTTTACCAATACCCACAATCTTTTTTTTTTTTGGTACCGGGGATTGAACTTGGGTCCTTGTGCTAGCAAGGCAGGCCACCGAATGGCTGAGCTAAATCCCCGGCCCACCACAATCTTAATGGATATAACTTTTTTTTTCAACTTCATTTTTTGTGGCATATTTCTACACTCTTAAATAAAAAATACTTCCCTTGTAAATTTCAACTAAGAATATGTATGAATATTCTTGTCACTATTCCCAAATAGTCCACTAACACGTCTATGTTCTTATGATTGTAGCTTTTATATAATATTGCAAGAAATGTTACTTTACTTATTTTCTTGCAATACTAGGTCACTTAGAATGTAAATTTGTACTTTGATAGAGACTCCTGACCACGTTAATGGCTCACCTGATATTTGAGCATGTCCACGTTATAATAGGTAGCCTGGGGTTTTTGTTCAGACACCTTTTTTAGGTGAGTCATCAAATTTGGCATGTTTACCCAGAATTCCTTGGTATTGGCATCATTTTGTATGTTATCACTGTTCAGTCAGGAAGAAAAATAGTTGATTAGTCTCTTGTAACAAATGTCATGTACAGAAGAGGCATCTCAGCAAATATGCATCTGGTTTCTATGTCCATCTTGACAATGGGTGAAATTATAGGCCTCACAGTACTTTGGTTTTAGTACAACGCAGTTCTGAATGCTGTTCTATTAACAGATTAGTATCCAAAGGAAGGGGCTACCATATCGCTGTAAATCTCACTGAGTAGCCAGTTCTATGAACCAGTCATGATGGCAATTGATTGCTTTAAAGAGTGAGGGTTTTTTTTTTTTTGGTACCAGGGATCGACTTCAGGTCCTTACACTTGTGAGACAGGCAGTGGCACCACTGAGCTAAATCCCCGGCCCCAAGTGAATTATTTTTTTAAGCCTAACTTAGTAGCCCAGAGGCATCCAGAGGGGTCTCGAAAGGTCCTTTGCCCATAAACATGTTGCCAAGCATGGCAAGACCGGCTTCAGGGAGGGAAGCAATTGCTGTGGTCCAGAAAATGACAACGGTCACTCATCCAAGGGAGATTTTAGGAAAGGAAAAAAGGGGCCACTGAACTGCATGAGCTTTAGATGGACAGTGAGGACGTGCTGACGGGGAGAACCACATCTGTTGCTTACGAATGTGTGGCTGAGCACATGCATAAGGGAGACTCATTTCAGGTTTCACAGAACAAGTGAAAAAATATCTATCAACAAACTTGCCCAAGGTTGTTTGATGTTATACATGTAAAGTTCCATCAAGACTACTACTGTTCAAATGAAATTGTTTCACACAAAAGGTTTTCAAACTCCTGTGGAGAGGAGCTCATAATTCAAGTATAATTTGATTTTAAGAGATGCTAATACGATGAGAGGAAGCTCCGATTACAGGTCGGTTCTTTACACACCACCCGCACGCACTGTTTACGGATAACAGACACAATGAACACACTGTCGCTACTACAGATTTTACAGCTTTAAATGCCTCTTACCCAGTCTAACTAGTTGGTGTTAAAGCACATAGATGTAGTTACTCACGGCACAGTCACTCACGGGGCCTTGAACAGCTGCTTAGGGTCACGTGCGAATCTACAAGGCTATCTCGAGCGAGGGCAGCAACAGTACACCCTCTGCGCGAATCCGAAGTGCTAAGCCACCCACAGCTCTAAAAATGTATGCAAAATCATATTTACCAGCAGAGCAGCTGAGGGTTTGGCAGGACGTGTTCTAACCTGCTGAAGTTTATCACCCGGAAAGTCAGGGCAGCCGGGGACGGGTTGTTTGCAAAGTGTCTGGTGATGCCGGCAGGGAAAGACAGCACCATCTCCCCGGTGATCTTCACAATACATCTGGGTGGGGAGACAGGGGACAGGAAAGAGAGGAAGCCCAGGTCCACGTGCGGGCATCAGAACACTCATGAAAAGGAGAGATCTGCGCAGCTAGGTAAAACAGCAAAAGAGATGAAAGGCAAGCTCCCCCGCCCCAGGACTGGGAATTGAACCCAGGGCCTTCAGATTGAGGAACATTCCCAGCCCTTTTAAAACATTTTTATTTTGACAAAAGTTTGAATAATTTTTATTTTATTAAGTCACTAAACTGCCTAAACTGGGTGCACACTTGTGGCCCTCCTGCCTCAGCCTCCCACAGTTCCTGGGTTACAGGCAAGCATCCACTCCACAACTGAATCATTTCTAGCAGAGGTGTGCCCTGCACACCTAACACCTATCAAGCTGCTTTATTTAATGTGTTTGGAACTATAAGAAAACAGGCATCAATGCTTCATAAATGCAATCACCTTCTCTTGGTGAATTTTGGCGGCATGTCCAAGGACACTATGAACGGTACAATACGATCACACGTTACTGGCCTTATTTTAGCTCTTTAACACGATCAGTGCCTTCAGCATTGTCTTATATGTTCTCGTAAGGTAAATTTCTTGTTTCCTACTTAATTAGTTCTTTATTCCACTAATTTGTCTATCCAGTGACAACTGTAAGTTCAGCCATAGAAATTAACACAGAAACATGTGCCAGTAAATAAAAATTGAAAAAAGAGATTAATACAGTAAGGTGATAGTTGGAAAGGAAGAAAAATCCTCTTAAAAAACAAAAGGCTCGATGGAGATACGGTTAACATACATGGACTGCACACATTTACAGCGTGAAGTTCCATGAGCTTGTATGATGTGAAATCATCACATGTGTCGATTAATCTTGATTATCAGGTTGGCTGGAAAGGTGATTGGTTGGCGACAGCGCCAACACCAGACAAGTTCCTAGCTCAGTGGCCAATAGGAGGTGGGGCTGGGTGGGAGGAAGCGAGCTGAAGGGTTGTGGCCTTGAGACTGTAGCTGGTCCGGCCCCTTCCTGTCTGGCTCCTTCCTCATCTGTCCTTCCCACAAGCTACCTAGTGCATCCTGCCTCAGCATACCCTCCTGCTACGATGTTTCTGCCGTGGAGCCAGACAACCGTGGATGGAATCTTCTAAAATCACAAATTAAAATAAATCCCGTTTTTCCTCTAAACTATGTATGCCAGCCATTTGTCCCAATAGTGAAAACTGGAACAATGCACCATACAACCAAGATAAATATTTTTACCAACCTTAAAAATTTCCTCTTTCCTTTTGCATTCCCTTTTGGCAACCTCCCTCACCCAACTTGCCCATCCTCAACCCTAGGCAATTGTTACAATGCTTTCTGTCACGTCAGTTACTTGGCTTTTCTAAAGTTTTATATAACACAATCATAAGGTATGTGCTCAGGGTGGGGGTGGGGTGCGGTCAGCCTTCTTTCTTCCAGAGTAAGTGTTCTGAGATTCATCCATTTGGTTGCATGTATCAAAAGCTGATTCTTTTTCATCGCTGGGTGGTGCATGGGTGTGTCACAGTTTTTGCTTTATTTTATTTTTTAAAAATCCATCCACCTGTTGAAAAACACTGCATTTCTTTCTAGTTTTTGTCTGTTGCTAAGGTGTGGCCAATATGCATGTGCAGGTCTTCCTGTGGACATATGTTTGCATTTCCCTTGGTAAGAGATCACTGGATTCATGGCAGGTGTACTTTTAACTTTTAAAGAAACTTCCCAGCTGCTTTCTAAAGTGGGCTGTGTGTGAAAGTTTCTTTCCCCTCCTCACCAGTACTTGGCAGAGTGTGTCTTTGTGATCATAACCATTCTACCTGGAGAAGGGTGGTACATCATTCATTTAATTTGCTAATGGCCTGAGGCAGCTCTTCCTGTGCTCATTTGTCATGAGTTATCTGCTTTCGAGAAGCATCTGCTCAAATTCTCTGCCAAACTTTCAATCAAGATTTTTGTTATTTTATTGAATTTTGAGTTTTTAATAATTCGAGGTAGATATCTATCATCATATAAATGATTCACAGAAAATTTCCTCTCACTCAGTGGCTGTTTTTTTTCCTTTCTTTTAAGAATATTTTGAGGAGCAAAAGTTTTTAATTCATTAATTTATTTTTATAGAATGTGTTTAATCCAGCTATTCTCCTAATGTCCTATTTAAGAGGTTTTTGCCAAATCTAAAATTTCACCTATATTTTCTTCTAGAAGTTTTAAACAATGAGTTTTACATTTAGATTTGTGGTCCATTTTTAGTTTAATTTTGTATGCACCCTGAAATGTAGATCTAAGTTCATTTTGTGTGCGTGTGTGTGTGTGTGCGCGCGCGCGTGCGTGTTGTGTATGAATGAAAATCTAATTATCCCAACACCATTTGTTGAGAAAAGACAATCCTTTCTCACCGAACAACCCTGGAAATTTGGTTGACATTCATCTGTCCACGTAAGTTTGGGGTCTGTTTCTGGATCCACCTTTCTGTCCTGTTGACAGGTTTTTTGGTTTGTCTTTCAACCCACACCACTGCCTTGATCAGTGTAAGCTTTAAAAATAGTTCTGAAATCAAGTAACGTTAGTCTTCCAAATTTGTTCTTAACGTTGTCTTGGCTACTGTAGGGTCCTTCACATTCCCTTATGAGATTCGGAATCACGGTGCCAATTTCAAGGTGAGAGCAGTTTACAGCCTCTCAGTTTCATTGTGCCCTTTACTTATTCTGAGACGGTGAACCATGGCTTTTTCTGTATTTTTTTCTTTGCCGAGAAGTGCCGTGCTAAATCTAGTCAGTAGGGGGTGCGGGAGAGACACTGTAGTAAGAAAGCAAGGTAGTTTTCTTCCAGGCTCCCTCAAGCTTGCTAGGCAGATTCTAGCAATGCACGGGCGTCCCCACCTTAGCCAGAAGAGACATCTCACAGGCTTAATTTTCTCTGGAAACAGTAGTCAACAAAGAGCATCTGCAGATGCAACCAAAACCACTGGAAAAAGTTGTGTCCTTCTCTCCAGAACAATTCAGTGAGGCACTTATTTCCGCAGCATGGACGGTGTATCACGAGTCGTGGGTACCGTGGAGATGATTTAAAGTCTATGGGCGCTGTGCAAAGGTTGCATGCAAAAACTATGCCTGGGCAGCGGCTTCGGTGTCCTTGGGGCTGGGGCCGTGTGTCCTGAAGTGACCTCCCAACCAAGGAACAGCGGCGTCTAACTTGGGGAGCGCCTGCGACACCGCCCATTCCACTGCCTAACTGGTGTCCGCGGGGCTCTAGACCCAGGAGCGCTTCCTGGCGAAGCAGGTTCATGGGTGAGAACCCCAGCGGAGCACAGGGACTCAGTTTCCTGAGAGCACAGTGCACCCCTGAGATTCGTGGGGCACAGGGAGGCGCTCCGCGGCCCGTATTCAAAGTGGCTCGCTAGGGCCTGGGGTAGGGGGGCAGGGCAAGGAGAGTTTCTGCCCGGAGGCTGAGCTCCTTTTTAGGCTGTCAGTGCATGGCGAGCAGAGAAGGGCACCAGTCCTGGGAGAAGCAGCGATCGCAGCATCTGTGAATTTAGATTCCAGCAGCCGTGGGAGGTGGTGCTCTGTGGGCAGCAGAGGCTTGAGCGCTCTGTTTCCACCCCAGCGTGCTGAAGAGGTCTGGAAGCTGTCCTCACAGGGCTTAAGGCTCCTCTTTCAAAAGCAAATCAGAGAGGGAGCATGCAACATTTGTGAAGTCAGCAAGAATGTATTCACTGTAAGTTATTACTACTCTTTTGAGTGGGGAATACTTTTTAAAAATGATCAAAACAGCTCCTGACTTTGAAGAGCTGGCAGCATTATTACGTGGAAGGTGGAATAGGACGGTCCAGATTAGAAACTCTGAATTATATTTTGGCATTTCCATGGTCAGAATTTGCTGATTGAATTTGCCCAGTGTGGACACGGAGCTGCCATTTTCTGCACAAAGCTTACTATTTTCTATTCCACCAAGGGGAGCTCTGACCTTCACTGTTGCTATCAGTGGCAGATCTCAAAGTTTCAATGAAATGTCCTGGGCAAACGACGAGGCCACACATGTATCCACAGCTCAAAGGGTCCTTAACTTGGGAGGGGACAGGACAGCAGTACTGTTCAGTAAACTCGGCGCTGTACCACTGGACCACCAGGGGCACGGACAGTACCACAGTGTCAGCGCGTGCTGGGGAAACTGAGCCAGGATGAAAAACCAGGACAGACTGGGCTAGGTAGTGAGGTCAAGGCCAGCCTGAATTATATAGCAGGACCCCGTCTCAAAAAACAAAAACCAAAATAAATAAATAATATTAAAAAACCCAGCGCTCCGAGGTTGGCATTCTGGGGGAAGATGTAGAGAACAGACAGCAGGAGAACTGTGTGAGATTAGGGAGGAGGCTATGAAGAAAAAAACACAGTGAGACAGAGAGGGAATAGAAAAATAATTTCTTTTGGTACTGAAGATTGAACCCAGAGCCTTTGAACTGAGTCCCAGCCTCCTTTTTAATTTTAATTTTTAAATTTTAAGACAATATCTCACTAAGTCTTTACATGGCTCAGATCAGGCTCACACTTGCAATCTCTTGCCTCAGCCTCCCATTGTGCTGGATGACAGGCATGGCTCACCACACCTAGCTGGGAAGTTTCCTTTGATAAATTTACTAAAAACTCATGAAGGAATTGAAGGAACAAGTCACTTCCACACATGGCAGAAAACATGGCAGGAAGAGGGACAAATGAGAGACCTGAGGGCCCACAGGGTCTGAGGAAGGAGAAGGGGGTGATGTGTGGAGGGAGCTGGGAGGAGAGGGGATCATAGCCGAGCAAGGCGGTGCAGGGGACCCAAGAGGGCCCAGTGGGTGGCGCAGGGTCCCAGAGCAAGAGCCCTGGGTGCCTTCTCCGCCTTTTCGAAGCATCTTATTCTGACTTTGGCAAGATCAGGGGGTTCTGAGAGCAGGGGAGCTGATGCATTGAGAATGGGCCTGAGTTGGAGCGGGGAGGGGAAGGGGGAACCCCATAGGTCTTTCTGAGTAGATGGGGGGGTTGGTGACTGAAAGACAGTTAGCAAGCAGGCACTAAACAATTCATTTCTGCATGGTTCTCAGGCACACACATCCTGTCTGCACTCCCGTTTCTTATGTGTTTAAAGCGTGTTTCTGTTTTTCTCAGTCCCGGAGCTTAGGAGCTTCCTAAGGACTCAGTGCTCAGCAGTTCTTAGCATTGGTCCAGTGGAAATGCAGGCAGGTTCTTCATCTGAGGAGGGCCCCAAGAGCCACACACTGGCAGGAGGTGCTCACACAGCCCCAGCTCTCAGCATTCACACGTGTGTGCTGTACAAGGTGGCTTTTAATTTCCATGGGCAAGAGCACGGGCGGGTGGCCTGGGAACTTTGGAAAGAAAGGACAAGGACAAGGGAGAAACCAGAGCCCACTGTGCTTGTTTCTTTGTAGCATTCTGGGCCCAGACCAGAACATGGATGGTGTTGAAAGAAAAGTGACATTTGGGAGATGGCTGGTCCAGTGGCTGGGTGGGACAGTGAAAGATGGGTTACTAATTATATTGGAGTTTCAGGGTAATACTTTTGCTCAGACTTTAATACATGTGTGTTTCCCAACTGTAAATAGGATTCACACTTAGTCATACAAATTACCACTGAAATAGATGTGGCGATCCAAGTTCTCATTAGACATAATTATTATCACTGATTCAAAAAATTTAACATAGTTGATATGTGCATGTAGTATTTTTCTCTGGTTCTTCTTATCGTAGATAGTGTCTTTTTCTAAGGGGTAGTATTTGTATAAGGTACAATCCAAATGAATTGAATTAAATTAAAATTTAATTTAATTTTTAAATTAGAAATAATTGTTATAGCCAAAGACACATTGCCAAGAATCTCCGTCCAAGTTCTGGGCTTTACTTTGAACACGGTCATCCCATGGTTCTTTCCACTTTCTTTTTCATGATCACTCACTGTTTTCTAGGCCTGATATTCCGTCTTCACTCTTGTTCATCCGGCTTTGCAAACTTTCAGTGGAATTTTTAATTTTCTGGATATCTGTTTCGTGTATTCCATTTCTTTTCTATGTTGGACATTCATGGTTTCCATCATTTTCCTAAGCTCTTCTATTTTTTAAAGAAATCTATGTCCACTCTAGATTTGCTGAGCAGGTCCTTCATTATGATTGTCATCTCATTTTTTATGTGAGAAGCTATTTCTTCTATTATTATTTTTTCTATAGCCTCATTCATCTATTTATTTACCGCTGCTGCTATCACTTCAGAAAATTTTAGTTGGTGGCTGTTGATTTCCTCTATTGTGTTGTCCTCAGGGTTTGCCCTGAGTGGGCTGGAGGTCTGGGCTGCACTTTGCTTCTGCAACTTATCATTTGCTAATTTTTAATTTTAATTTGTTTTACAAGCATCAGCACACTTTTGTTGATGTTTGAAAGTGTGTCAGTGCTCGTAAATTTCTTATGCAGGCAGCTTTATCACTAGTCTTGAGGCTTCCCTAGGAGATGTCTATCCTCAGAGATGTCTTCTAGGTGTAGCTGGCTGTCGGCCTTTGTATCTGTCCCAAGATCCTACCTTCCAAATTTATCTTCCTGATTGTTATAGACTTAGAGTGCAATTTTCTGCTACTTGCAACCATAACAGAGATTTCTAGCTAGGAAGATATTATTGGATATTTTGGTACCTATTTAAAGAGTGGTGGATTAATATCACTAATTAAATTCTGTCTTCTGTCCTAGGCATGTCACCTGCTATTGTTAATGGAATTCTTTCGGCTTTAGCCTGAGGAATACAACCAGGGAATTGTGGGTGTCCCCCCAGCCAAGGTGAGCATGGAGCAGATAGAGAATGGAGTGTGGAACTTACTTGCTGGGGTCTGCTGCTTTGAAGTAGGCATTGACAGTTTCCGTGAAGGCTGCTGCCACGGGGAGGGTGTCCTGGGCCCCCATGGTCAGGGGGCTGGGTCCCCGGGATGAACCTGTGGGAGGTGGAAAGCTTTTGTTTATTATGTGTGTAAGAGACACCCAGGACGGGTGGAGATCAAAGCTCATTCAAAGGTGAAGGTATAAAGTCTGATACCAGAAACGAATGTGTTCACTACCCAAACTCTGTATGTGTGTCCGACATGGAGCTCAAGTATTTAAAAGGAAATATTTGGCTAGTATACAGACAAACACACTTGAAACCCATTCTATGGCGTATCTCACTACAGAGGAAATTCCCAGCAGAAGGACAAAGTTGGGAGTTTTCAAATGTTCTGCATAAAGCATCAGGCAGTATTTGCATGACAGTTTGTACAGCAGGCGGTTAGTGAAGAAAATTATTAGCTTTCTGTGTCTTATTGGAGAATTCAGTCTAATCAGTTGCTCAAATACAAAACTTTTTTGCATTTCTTCATTTGGACCAGACAATGAGCTGAGCGGGATCATGTTTCACACTGCCCTGCATGTAGCCCCTTTCTGGACTATTTCCACATCACGAGCTCAATTACTCTTCGATCAAATGAACTCAATTCACATGTCTACAGATACACATAATTGAAATGGGCACACGGACTTTGCACAAACCCATAAACGCAGCAATTTACACTATCAAAAACATCAGCATGCTTACTGAACACCTGCTATGTCCAGGGTACTGGATTAGGCACTTTCCATGAATTATTTTATTTAGTCCACCTCAGCCCTGTGAGATGGGGACAATGCTTCTCATTTTATAGAAGAGAAACCTGAAGTTCAAAGAGAAAAGCAACTTGCTCAAGATAATGTAGTTATTCAAGTAGCGAAACAAAAAATTCAAACCTGGATTTGCTGCCCTATAAAGCTCATATTTTTACCATGTGCCCTCTAGTTTGTTGATAGGAAGCAGCTTGCTCTACTGTTTCTCAGTAACTCATGTGTCCATAAGATCAGAGCTGAGGATTGCTGGTTTGGAGTTCAGCTCCAGGCATGGTCTGAACAGAAAAGTAAGAAGCACTCATGTTCGCACTCACTGCTTCTCCATCATGTGAAACGAAAGCCATTTGCTCCACTCCACTCTGGCACAGACTACATACTTTGGTGTTCTGATTACTTTTTTTTTGCCTCAGTAGCTTCTGTTCTTTTCTACTGTGAAAAACTCTTGCATCAGATGCCTCCCTCCTCAATCAAGCTTTTCCTGATCACTTGAGTTCATGCAACCCTTCTTTCTCCATCTTCTCTCCGTTCTCAGTAGCTTGGACTTGGTAACTGATCATTAGTCCAACAAACGAATTACTCAAACACATCTTTATATCGATTGTTTACCAGGCACTGTCGTGGGTGCCAAAGATCCAAAGATCAACACGGTCCATGTCCTCAGGAGTTACAGTTCATTTCCCCTCATCACTACTACCACCACCATCATCACCACCTCCAACATCACCCTGACCACCATTGTCACCACCTCCAACATCACCATGACCACCAGCATCATCTCTACTATCATCACCATGACCACCACTACCACCACCATCTGCTGCCAGCATCCCCTCCACCGCATCATCTGCTGCACACTGTGGTTTATGTTTGCAGTAAGCATTGCCTTCATTCAACAGTTGGTAGAGCTGCTGTATTTGGATCTGGCGTGTACCCAAGGCCCATGTGAGAGAGGCTTGGTTGCCAGCCAGTGACGCAGTAGGGAGGTGATAGAACCTTAGGGAGCTGGGTTCCAAGGGAGGCATGAGGTTGGGGCATAACCTTGCAGGGGATATTGGGACCTGACAATCCCCACCCTTTCCTGGGCCTCTGTGAGGTGAGGAGGTCTCCCCTGGTGCATATTCCCACCAGAGTGTCCTGGGTACCCACAGGTCCAAAGCAATAGGGCCAAGTGACTGAGGACTGCAGCTTCTGACACTGAGCCAAAATAAACATTCCTCTTTCTGAGTTGACTGTCTCAGGTATTTTGTCACAGGAACAGAAAATTGGCTAAGGCACAAACCCAGACACAAAGAATTTATTATACTACTTGCTCAGACTTGTACAAGAGTTATATGGAAATTTACCACTGGTACTGAGGTTTGCATGAATTCACATTTTATGCTCTGAGGACTATATTGTTGTGCCTCCTTTTCAGGCAGGCATGGTGCCACTCAAGGGCAAGAAAAGGATGACCTTACCTTTGGAGTGTGTAGGTTTAACTCTCTACAGCCTGTGGGACTGCAGACTTTTGAAGGGAGGATTATGGCTGAGCTTCTTGCATGGGACTCCACATTACTAAAATGGGGCCAAGCGTGCACTGCTCTTTGGTAAGTGCACACCGAGTCAACCATCACCATGGGTCCCGGAGAGAAGCCAGTCCCCATCTGTCAACAACAGAGGCACAAAGGATGGGCCACAGGGCCATTGTAATGTCACTTGGGTTCTCTGTTCACTCCTTGGTTCAGTATTTACTGAGGGAGGGCCAGGGTCTGGAGGAGAAAGTTCTCCCTAACAAGGCTGCAGTGGAGAGGGCTGGATGCTCCTTTGTGGACTTTGGCGAGGGGGCAGACAGATCTGCCGCCCATGATTACAGGATCTCTAGAAGCGCCATATAGGAGGATGCTCTACGCAGCTCTGTGGAAGCTCTTGCTCAGCACCAGGCGGGACTGAGGCCCAGGGCCTGGTGAGAAAGCCCAGGACCACCCAGGTGGGGGAGCTAGGTCCTTAAGACTTCTGTATAAATATTTGGGAATTTTTTATCTTTATTTAAATGAATTATAGGCCTTAAGATCCAAGTTCTCTTCGGCGATCTTATAGAAATCTGTGGACGCTTTTCAGAACAAACCACTCTTATAGAAATCTGTGATGCTTTTCAGAACAAACCACGCATCTTTTACAGTGTTCAGAGAATGTGAAACACATTTCTTGAGGTTATAAATTTCTCTGGGGCACCCGGAAGCTGAGATAAGAATACCTCCTACAGAAGAGAGGGACTTCTGGAATCTGGAGTGGATAGGGTTGCACTGAGCTCGGTTTATACCACACTAGCTACAGTGTGCAGAATAATTCAGTGAGGGAGAGAAACTTCATAGGAGGAAAGACAGCTGAACATCATGGCACAGACCTAGGAGGCTGAGGCAGGAGGACTCCAAATTCAAGGCTGGCCCAGACAACTTTTGGACAAAAAAATCTCCCAGATTGATGTATCCGGAGTTGAGTAATTTCCAATAAATAGCGAATAGCTATCTAATACTGCTTACATGTGCTTATTAAAACCAAATGCAAGGAATTCTCTGACTTTTTGACTTCTCTCTCTCACCATAACTATCACAAAATTACCTCTCAAAATCGCCTTTTCTTTCCATCTAAACATCAAATTCTACCATAAAAAAAAAAAAAATAAAAAAAAAAAAAAAAAAAAAAAGTAAAAAAGTTAAAAAAAAAAAAAGGTCTGGGGATGTAACTTCATGAGAAGACTAAAAGCCCTGGATCACAACCCCCAGTGTGTATGTGGGGGGGCGGCTGGCAAGAAATGCAGATGTTCTGCAAAGAATTGAAGAGTCTTTCATGAAATTCTGAAAATTCATGAAATAGTGAAAGCTGGGTGATAGTAGTTTTTTTAAGTGAGTGACAATTAGGTGAATCACAAGGTCCAAAGAGCATGAATCAGAGGTTCCCAGTTCACCGGGAAGGAGCTCCCTAGGGAAACATCTCCAGTTGGCCTTCATCTGGACTTCTCAGTGCTTTCAATAAAACCAGAAGAAAGGCTAGAAATGGCACCTGGGCGGTGTAGGAATAGGGAGAGACACACAGGGACAGAGTCGGGTCTCTGGCCCTTGTTATCTAAATGACCTTAGGCAGGAGGAATGGAATAAACCCACACTGGAGTCTGGCTCTAAAGGTAAAACAAGGAGAAGCCACTGGCCGAGTGCTCAGTCCCCTCAGGAACAATCACTTTCTAAGGTGACAGTCGCAATGTAAGGTAATACAGAAGGAGTCCTCTGGAATAACGACAGATTCACTGAGAGTGTTCCAAACTGTCTCAGATTTTTGTGATATGGAGACAGAACTGCTAAAAAAAAAAAAAAAAAAATCAGCAAAAGGAAATGTGAAATTCCTGCACAGAAGATGAAAAATTAAACTTTTAATTTTAAAAGTAACAATCAAATGAAACAATTAAACTTGTGATTTGGGGAAAACTGGCTTGGTGGAAGAGTATGAGAAAAGAAACATTTGGGGCTTTTGTTGATGAATTTTCTATTGGCTACGAAACATCTGGTCAGCTGGACTACGTCAAAGGATAAGGAATCAATCAGCAGAATGAGTGGTTTTCTTTTCTTTCTCTTTTTGGTTCTGGGGATTGAACTCAGGTCCTTGCGCTTGTGAGCCAGGCGGCAGAACCACTGAGCTAAATCCCTGGCCCTTTGGCTTTGGTTGTTTCTGTGCACTGTTTTGAAGCTGGCCAGATGGGGAGGAAGACACTTCTGCACCAAAGACAAGCTGCTGTGGGCAATGAAGTGTGAGCCATCTGAGGTCCAATCTGTGTGTCTCTCGTGACTCTCAATCTGCCTCCTAACCCTAGCTATGCCCACCTCTGGGCGTAGTCGTCCTAATCAGCAATGTCAGAGACATACACAGAACAACAAACTCCAAGAGTGAACCCCTTTCCCTTGAAACGCACACCCCTTGCGTTCCCACTTCTCGTGCTTCTACATCACAGTGAACATATTTTTTTAACATTTCTCACAACTATGTTTTACTTTACATTTTCTGGAACATTCATAGGGAGTAATTTAAATCATCATTGTATAAACCGATGGTTTCCTCTGTAATTATTATCTGAAGATATGATTTTATTCCTACAAAGGATGAACAAACCAAAAGGCAGACCAATTTTAGTTGTTTGAATGCCAGGGTGCAGTATGTAAAGCTTGCCCTCCATGGAAATACTGTCAGTCACAAATGAATGCTTCTGTTCCCTATAGTGCCCAAGAAACTTTCTTACATTGGATTAGTGAAAAACTGGGCTAAAACCAGGACAATGTCAAGATGGTGAACAACTCGAACCTTATGTCTTCAGAAGACTGAGTCAGGCTTGTAAACTATATGTGGCATAAAATTACAATACAGGGACACAGAGGACCAGAGTTTAAGCCCACGTATGTGCCAGCTAGTAGTTTGGTGACCTCAGGGAAGCCCATTAATCTTAGGTTCTCCTGAGCACAAAGGGAAGGCAATAGTCCACCCACGATTTTATTTCTAGACACTTAAGGTTTTTACAGTAAGACAACTTTCTAACAGAGGAATGAGCTGCCCTGAAAATGGTGTCCCTTCTCTGGAGGCTTGAGTGGATCGGCCACACTGAGCCTCTGCTGTGTACAGAGGGTGGGACACACGTATGAAACTGGTGGGAAATTACAGAGCAATGGTGTTTGCAAACAGAGCGTGTAGAGTATTGTTCAAGAGCGAGATTATTTCACTGTGAGATTAATTGATAAGTGAGCAGTACTGGGGACGTTACTACAAGACAAACAGAAGCTCAGTCTGTAGAGTCATCCTGACTTAGGCATGGATCTGGCTTTCTCATTTATAATTTGTATGATTATGGACAAGCTATTTCTTCTCTCTGTGATTCAGTTTCCTCATCTTTAAAATGCTATCAATAAAAATAGCATCCATATTAAAGACTTGCAGTGAACATCACATGAGATGACACCTGTGAAATACTTAATGTGATATGTGCTTGAAACATATTATTGCCAGACATAGTGGTGCACATGTAATCCCAGCACTCTGGGAGGCTGAAACAGGAGGATCATAAGTTTCAACTCAGCTAACTTAGTGACTTAGTGAGGCCCATGTCAATATAAAAAAGGCTGGGAATGTAGCTCAGTGGGTTCAATCCTCAATAAAGCAAGGAAAAGAAGAGTATTACTGTTGTTTTTGTTGCTGTTATTTTGTGGAGGTCAGCTTTACTGAGGCAATTGAATTAGGCTTGATTCTTTGAAATCGAATAGATTTTTAGGTAGAAAATAAAGGGAGGCGGCCATACAAATAGAATTCTTCACTAAGCAGGGAGATAGAATTTTCAGGTTCCTTCCACTACAATTTCGCTCTCCCCACAGTGCAGTCTGCGTGGATATCTGCACTGTCACATCCCGCAGGTGGCTGTGGCATCCACTGCAGTTGCTGGACACAATAGGAGAGTGCACGTTTGACTCATTCACATGAACAACTTTATAATTTGCATAATTCATAGTAATTAGGATTTATTTATTCAAATGTTAGTTCCTGCAATAGTGAGGCATCATGCTGGGGCTGAGGGAGCACAGAAATGAGGCACATCTCTTCCTGGAGTTTAGTACAAAAGGGAAATCGAGGTTAACCACAAATGAAACATAAAGTGCTATAGGAAATCAGAGAACAGTTTAATACTGTAGAGATTATGTCACTACCATTAAGAATTTCAAAGTAATTCAAAGTGGAGGCAGTGTTTGCTAAGGTAACGCCTATGCTTGTCCTTTAGTACATCACATATTAACACTAACACCGGAGGGAGGGAGGGACGGGCGTGCCGTGGTTACCTGTATCTCCGGAGCCCACAGCCATCGCTCTTCCGTGGCAAAGCTGAACTCAATCCTCCACTTTCCTGGCCCCATCGCCAGTTGTAGTTGTCTCTGACCACACACCGGATCTAGTCAAGGGGCTTACTGATAATGTCCCTCCGCCCCATCACAGCTCTGTGACGTATGCGTGTTATTATCCCTGTTTGACAGGTGGAACAATGGAGGAGGTTCGAGGCACCCGGGAGCCTTGGGGGACCCGCCCAGCAGGCGAACAGGCCAGGGAGGTGGACCTGGCACTGTTCGAGTCTGGGTAATACTCTCTCACCTCCACCACTAGACGAACAAGGACAGCAGAACAGAATGGCCCTGGGCCCGCCCCAGAGGCTGAACTGCTCCTATTGGCTTGGCATAGCAGTTGCGCGGCACTGGAAAGCAACTGGCAGCACAGGTAGAGAATCTGAGCAATAGGGGCACTGAGTCCCCAGGGTGTGACTGAAAAGCAGTCCCCTGAGGCTCTCAGTACCAAGCAAAGTCACACCAGCACACATGTGCACAAACGTCCTCCCTGCCATCACGGCCCCGTTGCAATCATTTTGTGAGTGGTGCACTGACATGTGAAACACGAATGTGGGTGCAGGACCATGTAAAAACGTTTAAAGAGAGAAAGGGAGAGGGATTTTAAAAGACAAAGGGAAAGATAAGGAACAAGAGGAAAGAGACAGGAAGTGAAATGCATAAATACAAAAAAAGAATAATAGAAGGTGTACTTTCAATAAATGTTTGTGTTCTGTGCCCCAGAGATGTCGCAAATCCCACTGCTGCCATAGGTACTGACAGGTACACAATTTCCTTTTAACATCTGTTAGGTGCTGTGTCCAAACTCTGATCACCTTCAACTGCACGACAAGCTTACCTTGCAGGTAGGCACCATTACTCATGCCCTTTTCTTACAGGTGAGGAAACTTAGCACTTAAGTGTCCTGCCCAAATTCAGACATCAGGTGAGCTGCACTTTTCTCGGTACTGGGGATCGAACTCAGGACCTTGCACTTGAGAGGCAGGCGGCGGCACCACTGAGCTACATCCCCGGCAGTGAGCTGCACTTGTCGTTGTTAGGTGCCCATTCTGTCCCAGAGTCTGGGACTGTGTCACGGGTGTGGGTTTCAGTCTTCACTGTGCTCCCTGCAGACCAGTGATTCTAGCCACATCTCCATGACAGTAGGACAGTCGTGCCCATGTGCCCCTTATCCAAACGCACGGAGTGTGCACGCTACTGATGCAGATGTGATGAAAGCAGCAAATGTTACCTTCTGCTCATCAGCTGTTGGACACAGTCAGATGACAAAGGAGGTGGTTTTGCACATTTAGAGAACCTTCCTCATCCTGCAGATCACAGACCCAAACATCTGCCTGCTCCACAGACCCTGCTTCCGGTGTCAGGCAAATGGCCTGGGTACCAGGGCTGAGAGAGCAGAAAGCAGACCCAGCAGATGGAAGTCTCGAGGGCATAAAAGAGAGATGTTCCACCATTGTACTGAGAAGGACAGGTCTAAAAAGCTGACCATATGAGAGTGAGTAAAAAGAGAAGTTATTTTCAATTCTTTGATGGCTTAATGGAACATATTCTGGATATAGTACAGTGATAAAGGTGAAAAATGTTGAGAAGCGGTTATATCAAATCAAATCCTGACTGTCCCTCACTGTGAGACTCTGGGACAATGACCTACATTCTGGGTATCACCTTCCTCATATTGGAGAACAGAGGCAGAACTTTCTGCAGATTGAGCGGTTAACTGCGGTGACACAGCGTGGCCTTGTTATCTGAGGTTGGAGAAGTCACTTAAAAGTGATATATTTAAAACAGGCCCTGACATTTAATGACACACAATAATAGGAAGGTTTGATTGAGATGCTAAATTGCCATAAACTAAATTTGTGAAAAGATCTTTTATTAATAAAGTTGAGGCTGCAATATTAATTCATGAGTTCTTAGGATGAACAGAAATGAATTCTATTGATATTTTCGAAAAGGGCAGTTTTTTTCTGATAAAATTGTATTACAAATCTCCACACCATCCAACAGTCAGGTTTGGATTTAATTGATGACTATAAGTGGAGCTACTGTGGAGGATTATTTGAGAGTTTTATGAATTCTAAAGATCTTGGAATTTCCTTTTAAACTGGATATAATGTAAGCATACATTTTCTTTATTAATAGTTTTATTTCTGTCAAACTCTCCTTGGACAAGAACGTTGGTGTTACTGAAGCAGTTTCCATCATCACTACCCTTGACTTCATAGAATTCTGCATCCATTCCAAGACTGGCAATTTCACTTTGCAAAATATATGCATTGCATTTGCTTTTTTTAAAACTTAGGATGCATTTGAGAGAAAAAAAAATCAAAAGGCTAACTTAAATATCACATAATTAATGTGCATGAAATAAATCATGATCAATGATAAGATGGAATCATATGTCGATATTAGAAATACAGTAATAAAAATGGAGCTAATATTTGCATATCTCCTTTTGCCAATTAGATTGGAAAAAATGAAAAACACTGACATAACCATGTTGGTGAGGTCATGGAAAAATAGTCACATAATGCTAAGGGAAATGTTAACCAACACTTTGGAGGGACGTTTGCAATATGCAGTGGTGTTTGAAATGTGAATGTTCTTCACACAGCAATTCCATTTTTAACACTGCATCTTTAGGGTGCTTTCAGAGAACTACAAAAAGCTACAGGTTCAAGGCTAGGCATTGCATCATTTTACATAGAACAAAGGTAAAAATCCAAATATCCATGAATGAAAGACAAGTATATGTATATAACATACTACTTTAGAAACATTAAAATGCTTATGTACAGTAGAAGTTGCAGAGATAGCAAAGAGCAGTCAAAACTTGTCAGGCTAAGTCATTTCATAGTTTCTGCAAAGTGGAAGGAGGATATGGAAAGAATGACAGTAAAAAACAAGAGAAAACTGGATGTTGTGCATCTATTGGTCCGCTTTCCTATTACTGGGACAAAATACCTGACACAGCTTAAAGCGGGGCAGGTTACTTTGGCTCATGGTTTTTGCACATTCGGTCCATGGTTGATGGCCCCAGGCAGGAGCCTCATGATGGAAGGTCCTGAGGGAGCAAAACTGCTTGCATCATGGAGAACAGGAAGCAGAGAGGGGAAACAGCGCAGGGAGGGAGGAGCAAGGGGCCAAATGCAGACTCCAAGCTCATGCCTCTGTGGCCTTCCCAGGCACACCCAGCGGGAGCTTCATTAATCCCCCATGTGCTTCTCAAGCCAGTCAAGTTGCAAGATTAACCGTCACACTGCACAATTTGCAAATGGTTAAAAGAAATCCGAGGAGGTGGTGTGATTTCTAACATACACAGGTCTATGAAAGTTCTGTGGATACACAAGGAAGCACAGGTATATTTGTAATTAGTCTTCTGAACTGTCTTTTAAATAAAACAAGTATTTAGAGCTCAGTCTTTAACTCAAACTGATATACCGTGCTCTGTGGTGTCTTTTTCACTAAGTGACAACTGAAAGTTAAAAATCAAGTTTTTGGGCCAGGGATTTAGCTCAGTGGTTCCAGCACCTGCCTTGTAAGTGCAAGGGCCTGAGTTTGATCCCTGCTACAAAAAAACAAAAACAAAAACAAAAAAACCCACATTATTTGAATTTGTAAAAATATTATGCTTAAACCAATATGATTAGGACCAAAAATTCTGAACTATTCTCAAATACTTTGTAGTGGCATAGAAGACATTCTCATATGTTAAAAGAAAAAGATGCATAATTATATCCTGTATGATAATGTAAATTACACACACACACACACACACACACACACTCACACATAGGCAGAGCCACATTAAAAGAAATCTTAGAATTGCGGTCTATCAAAGTAACAGTGGTTATCTATTGTTCCTGGATTATAGATCTTTTACAATTTCTTTATACTTTTATTTCCCCAAGTTTAATGTATAAACAGACATTGAGAATTATTCTGGGATTTTATTCCCACTCTTTTTTTTTTCAGTACTGGGGATCGAACTCAGGACCTTGCACTTGTGAGGCAGGCTTGGCACCACTGAGCTAAATCCCCAGCCTTCTTATTTCCTGGATGGGTCTGTAGAGTGGAGAAGCAGGTGCTGGCAACTCAGCCTCCTGTCAGCTACTCTCAGAGGGGCAAACACGCAGCAGCAGAGCAGGGAGGATGTGGATGGGTGAGGGGACTCCAAACGCCCAGTGTAAGGAAAGCGGCTACTAACTTCAGTCTCTCCCCTTTCTTCTTCCTGGACTCGCTCCCCATTGTGAAGATCCCAAGTGCGCCAAAACATCCTGAAAATCAGCCCTGCACCCACTCCCCGGATGCTGCCCCACAATGAGCCTGGTGTCATCCTGGGGGCTGTGGGCCCCCCGGTCAGCTCCTGGAGGAGCCACGCTGCCCTCGGTGTTGGGCCAAGACCCACATGGTCAGCATCCTCTGCCTGTAATTTAACCAGTTCCAGTGACTCCTACAGCAGAGCCAGCCTGCGAGAGGAACCGGTCTACACTGGCAGAAATGAGGGTCACATGCATGGTACGAGACAGCTGACGGCGGAAAAGGGTTCAAACCCTAAAAGCAACCATTTCAAATCTTTGATCTAATAAATGAAACCAAGCAACATTCTTAGCCCATGCCTAACATGCTAAATATTCATTCATGTTACCGTTTTAGATAATAAAAATATTTGTATAGCACTTTATAGTTGCAAAGGCCTTTCACAGCTAACAGACTAAAGTCTGTCTGAGGTGTATGTGGTACCACTTAAATACGTCCAATCCAGCTACATAAAAGGGTTTAGACGTTGGGGACTTTCCCGAGCTTCTCTCTTTAAATACCAGCATACCTTTCTCACTAATTTACGTCATCTTTCCTTTCTAGGGTAGTCAGAAGTTCATAAAAAGAGTATTTTTTTCTGCACTTTTCCTTTTGTGGAATTGGGATTGAATGTAGGGCCTCATCTATGGTAAGCTGGCACTCTACCACTGAGCCACATGGCCAGCCCATAAGAAAGCATTCATGTCTGAGAGTCAGGAGGGAGAAGGAGAAAGAAGGTACGATCACCAACGAGACGTGGGAGAGGCCCAGTCTGAGGCTCGACTTGTCTCACTGAGCCTGAGGCTTGGCCAGACCTCGCCTCAGTCTTGGGCAGTGAGAGATGGCAGCCCAGCAAGATCTGGGCCATTAGATTTATCCTACAAAAGCACAACCACTGACTGTCATACTCAAAATTAATCACTCATTTTCTTAAAAAAGGAAAACACCGTGGAGCATGTTGGAGTTCGAATGTGTTCTTTTTCCAACATGGCCCCTGAAAGCCAGCATTCCCTGACGTTCAGCCATCGCTTCTATAGATGCAGCCCTTACTTCTAAGCAGATGGCCCCTGAATTTCCACAGTCCATTTACTTCTGGACTTGTGCTACTTAGATGCTTAAGTTTCTCCATGCTTCTAGTGATCAAAATCTAATTTTTCTTTCTTAAAAAATTCTTAAAATTCTATTTTGTGCAGGGCTTGCAATTCAAATTCCTTCTTCCAGTAAGAATATGACCCTGTCTCTTTAGAATATGACCTACTTACCTTTCAGCTCATCTCTTCAAATCATCCTCACCTTGCTTGGCTTATTTTCCCTCAGTACAGCCTGGATATTACCCATCTAATGCCTTTGTTCAACTTATTCTTTCAAATGGGGCCACTCGTGGCTTTCTGAAGTCCCATTTGTCCTTGCGTGTTGATCAGCTCAGGTCCCTCTTCCTCCAAGAACTTATTCCAGCTTCTCCCTAGTTAACAAATATCTCTCTTTCATACTTTCTGGAATGTTTTCCCAATTCTACTATGGCATTTGCTCTAGTGTGCCTTTTACAGGAAGTGCTAAACTCTTGTTTCTTGTGACTTCCTGGAAGCCATTTTGTTTGACCACCATCACTCCCACAGAGAAGCCTGTAGCTAAGAAGAGCTCACAGAATAATTACGAGGCTCTGAATGAGGGAATAAGTGAGCTAATCTTTAACTTTTCTATTCTGTTCATTTTGGCTCCATTTCTCTTTCCCTGTTCTAGGGAAGTACTGAATTTATATTTCAGGTTGCAAAATTGTAAGACTTCATTCTGGGTAAGTTAGTTTCCCATTTAATAATCCAGGCAGACAGAAATCCTGGTGTGTAACCAACTTCCGCACCCAGGCAACCGTGACTTACCCTCGGGGCTCCTCCTTTCCTCTCTGGGGAAGGATAGTCTTCAATCTTGAGCAAAGAAAAACTTGATCAAGTAAGACTATATTTGCTTTCTTGTGAGTGAGGGATACTTCAGAAACAGCTCTGTGTTTAGAGCACTATGGCCAGAAGAGGAAGAAATGCACCATCAACAATGCTGAAGGACAGATAAGTCACAACCAGAGGGCTGACAGGTTGCATGAGAGAGAAGGAAAGTACTGGAAATATGAAAAAGGTGCATGTTGGAACCTAGTCCCGATCTTTTCCCTTCAATCTCCTCATTCAGTTTGTATGCAACCTGAGAGTCAGACTAAAAAAAACCTCTCATACTGCAGAGTACCGTAAGAAACAGTTATCTTATTTGATTTTAGATAATTATCTTGCCAGGTAGGCATGGCACCTTACATTTAAAGATACTTTAAAATGGAGACTTGGACATTAATGGCTCAAGATCATATGGTTCTGAAGTGGTACAATTCACACTAACAGTGATTACAAGCATCACTTTCATGATTTAATACTAGGGTCAATTTAACCACTGACGAGGTGAATAATTTGGGGAGTTACCTCGTTCTCAGAGCCTCTGCTAGTAGCACCCCCTTGCATGGCCACGTGGCTTACACGAGCTTGTGGATGTACAGCGATTAGCTTGGAGTGATCGCACCTTTATTACAGGCAGAGATAGGCGCATGCAGGTGCGTAAACCTAAACAACATGGTGTGCTCGCTAGAGCAGGGGCTGCTAGGGGAGAACTTGGCACCCAGGAGTGGGGTGTCTAGGAGGCTGCATGGGGACGAGAGGCTGAAGCTCGTGTTGATGTTAGACACAAGGACACTCGAGAACCTCTGGCGACAAGTAGTTGTCTGTTTTCTCACCACCACATACAAAAGAGATTTACAGTTACAGAAGCTAACCCAGGAGAGGGACGGCACATCTGTGGAAACATCTTGATCTTCAAATGCTCTAGGGATTTGTCATGGAAATATCCTTCCTTCTCACCTCAGAAGGACAGCTGATGGGTTCTTGGATGAATTTAAGAAGTCATTCGTAACCCAGTGTGCTCTTTTCCCAATTTAAAATGAACAGGTTACAATTCCAGTAGAGCTGCTTATAAAAGATCTATGTTCTGCAAAGCTTCGGGACTCTTGTGAGGCAGAATGACATTTTCCTTTCTCAACCTACTCAGCTGTAACTTCTTCTTTGGGATTTGCTGGCCAATAAAAAGACACTGAACACTTTTTAACTCCACCTGATTCAAACAAAATTTAGGAGGCCACATATTCTGGACCTTGCACCTTGGTTATTATAAAATTATGACTTAAGGCAATGAAGGCTTTGATATCATGAGGAAAATGTGCATCTTCCCAAGAAGACTGCCTGGTATCTTTCCATTATCAGCACTTTCCACTGTCCACTGTCAGGAGTGACATCGGAATATCAGACCACCCTTCCTATACCTACCCGGGCTGCTCTAAGCTAAGGGCTTCTGTATCTAGCACCATTTTGCCAACAAATTTCACTGTTGGGAGAAAAAAGCTACAAGTATTTTTATATATACAGTATCAGCCACCCTAATTTTTAAAATTGCATTAAAGCACACATTGGAGTTAGGAAAATTCCACTTGTCATTAAACACAAACACAACTTCAATATTGAGATTTGGTTCTAGAATAGAACATTTCTTGGCCAGTTTTTGACCTCTGGATAAATTAAAGTATTTAAAAATCTAGCAACTAGGAGCTTATATGATAAATCTTTCTGTGAAAGGAGGCCCATTAATTAAGTTAAATGAGTTCATTTCCCCCCACTATTAGTTTAAATGGGACATTTTTCAACTGCCAGATTTGTTGATTTAGATCTTAAATATAAAACAGAAGAAGGTTAATCCTTAATAATCCAGGACATAACAAATTACCAAACACTAAGCTTAGAAACCTGGCATCGTATTTATGTCTATTTTCCCTATTCTCCTAAAAGGGCAAGTCCAGCAATAGTTGTCCATTTTACTACAGTCATTTCAGTTGCAAATCAAACCTACTAAAACCCTCCTTGCCTCCTTATTTTCTGATACCCTAGGTATACCTTCTCATGAGAATATATGCACATATTTATCGCTTACAATAATGGATGCTATATCTGGAATATTAATTATCCAAAGCACAGTTAAATGTCAATAACAACCACAGTGTCCTTCTATTTGTCGCATTCCATTTGCAAGAGTTAGGAAAGAGCCCTGGTTGACAGAGTTAAGTTCATCGGTCAAAAAGAAGGCATGTTTTGTTTTGTTTTAATTGATCACAATTAATTAACTAAAATTAACAGCAAATTCTCTTTAATTTGCTCAATATGAAAAATTGAAGATCACAGACAAACCAAATTCATGTAATGTTTTCTTTAGTCATTAAAATTTTCTAAGTAGCCATAGCATTTTTGTTTTCAGTGCAGAAAGCGAGATCAGAACTTTTGAAGAGAACTGGGATTTGGAACTGCCACTGGGGAAAAAGGACGAGGGGAGTATAAATCAGGATCTGGTATGCTATGCACTACTTACCTTCAAAAGTCAAATAAAACTTTCCTCTGTCAAACCAAACGAGGGAAGGCTGCTCATTCTCTGTATGGCCAGGAGTTGAAGCGGGACGGGAAGGTTAAGGAGAGGGAGAGAGAAGGACAAAACATGAGTTACAGAGCAGGTCACTGATCTCGCTACGGGGAAGGGTGGAGGCACTGCATGCCGTCAGCGTGCGGGATACGGGGAAGGCTGGTGGCCTAGGCGTTTTAGTTGAGGAAACAGCAAAAGCAAAGCGTGGGGGCCTAGAGGGATGGGTGCGGTCGTAAGTGGCTTGACACTGGGTGCTTGTGCCTGGAGCGGAAGTCTTCCTGGCCATGCAGGGGCGCCAGCGTCTTTTAACCGTACTAATTTGGGCAAACTGTCATTCAGCAATTGCTGTAACAATTTCATCTTCAGTGTCAACCCCCTTTTAGGTTTCCAAAAAGATTAACTCAAAGTTACGGAGCATCTGAATGATTAGCTTAGCTTTTCAATGACACCAGCATTGCAGATCAGTCCTAAGTTCATGGCACACCACGTAGTTCTTCTGTACCCTCCAGTGGGATCAGCTGAACACACCTTTACCCGGTACTGAAGAGAAAGTGTGCTCTATGGTGCCCGGCCATGGTTTCAATTTAAAAAGCAGTCACCCGACATGTGATTCTGAGCAGTTAAACTATTTCTTCCTTTGGAAATTCACGAAGCAATGGCATCTCGCCTTTTTTGAACCTTTTCACTGAGAAACTGTCATGCAACCTGCTGCTTTTTATCACTCAAAAGTGTTTCAGGGTCATGAGTTCCAGGATGGGTGGCAAATGGACACCCATGAGGTGAGGAGCGTATCTATGACGTTTCCAGCATTCAGATGGACAATGGCTTGGCTTTTTAAAATCTAAAAATCTAGAGATCACTCGGCTAGCACCATACCTGCAGGCGTGTCACAGCGCCTTTCAAACGAGGGCAGTTTGTCATAAAAAACATCATCTTCTGACACTACGAACCAAAGAAACATAAACGAATGGAAACGAAAACACAAATAACAAATCCCAAATGAAATCAAGTAGTGCACCTCACTGATAGGAACACAGGAATGACTTTCATGAAAAAAGGAAACAAGACACTGGAATTGTGATTAGAGTATAGAAAGTGATGCGCTTCTCGGATGATGATTCTATGAGCAGGAACTAAAATTTTTTAAATGCCAGATTTTAGCATCTGTGAATCTGGCAGAAGTCAGATCCAGGGAAAAAAAGTCCAGCCCAGCCAGGCACTGTCATGAATAATTGACTTGTGCAAGTGTATTCTACTCCAACACAGTTCTAAGAGGCCAGACATAAGCTGTGCACGGGAATCTCCTGGACAGCCCACACCTCACACAGCTTTACAGAAGCTGGCTCTCAACATGGCCACAACAGCAACGGTATAAATCAGAGTCCCTGGGTGAACCGTCCCATTCCAACCTCACCAATGTCCAGGGTCAGTTGCCCAGCACCTGCCTTTGATTGTTACGGGCTGTTAATTTTGAACAGCATTGTCATAATTCTATCTTTGGCTGTGACATCCAGCCACATCTAAATGTCTTTGGGAGTTGGTCACAACATTAAGAATCATGGCTCTGTTCTCCATGCTGTCAGATCTTTACACACCTGCTATCAAGTACAGGTGCAATTGAGGCGTTTACTCTATGTGATTAAAAAGATAGTAATGCTACAAGTCTTAAAAGTGTAATTACAACCTTACTAGAATGCTGACCAAAATCTGTACAAAGACCCATCTACAATGTAGAGAAGTCAAGAACATAAAAAGGGTAGGAAAATATCCCATACTGTTTTTGGGAAATATTTGATTTGCTTATTGCCTGGGCTTTGGGGACGAGGCAGGGAAGCTACTTTTTAAAAAAATTATTGCAAAATATTCCTCAGGACTCCATTGCAAGAAGACTACAAGAAAGACAATTTTTCTTCTCTATCAATTTCACCATGAATTATAGTGTAAAGTTTTAGGGTGTCACCTGTCAACTGGCTCTTCTCAGGCATTGAGCTTCTTTAGTGGCTGGAATAAGTGAATGCAAGTCCTAAAATATCTATGGGAAGATCTATGGGACAGGCCCTTCCAACAAAATAGCATTTTGTGCAGAATAATTGATACTGGTAGTTTTTTTTTTTTTTTTAAGAAAACTTTAGTTGCTGTCTATCTTGGGGGACATTTTTATGTTCTAGAAACTATAGTTGCATCACTGACTATAAATCACTTTTGCTCATGGTTCTAGACCAAAGAAAACATCAAAATCCATCTGAGGCTCTCTTTGCTTATAACACAAGATTGCTTTTCCTTCATTACAGATTCCTAGGATGTTAAAAATGTAAAGCAAAATGCGTTATTACTAATTAAGGGATATAATTCACAGTGAAATTGATAGAGAAGAAAAATTGTCTTTCTTGTAGTCTTTTTGCAAGGGAGACCTAAGGAATATTTTTCAGTAATTAAAAAAAAAACTTGTCATACCTGTAGATATAAGAAAGAAGCAATAAAAACTGTTTACAATTAGAGGTAACTCTCCATTATCTCCGCTGTCTGTCTCTGTCTAAAAATGTGTTTCTTATAATAGAATTCAATATTGTCCCTATCCTTATACTATTAATATTTCTCCACATTGTACAGTATGGGTCTTTGAGCTTTATTTAATATAAGAAGAGTTTACTGTATTTCACTGATTCTAAGATATTCATGTTTCCACATTCTCAGTTATTTAACAGTGGGGTGGGTTTTAGAATTAATATTAAAATGCACTGCATCATATCTCAATGGGCAGCTTTTTCTCTTAGTTATGTGTAAGATAATGGTACATATTAAAATTAATGCTGTCTTAAATTCAGTAAAATACAACAAATGGAAAGTTCAGTTTCTTATATGGTATCAGATTTCTACTCTGTTATCACTTCTATTAAAAATTTCATATCTATAGCCTTTTAGGGCATTTTCTTATATGTGTAGAGGCTTAGATTTGCTGTTAAAAATTTAGTTCTCAAAAATCGCTTTAAAGTTGGCTCTTCTATCGCCACATACTTGTCCCAAGTATGGCCTGACTGCCACAGGAAATGTCAAAAACACCTGTGGCCATGGGAAGGGAGCGTTGAGATGTGGACTTCAGGAATTTGCTGTGGCCACAGCCGGCCATCCTTGGGCCTCAGACTGCATTAAGCGGGCCTTCCGTGCCTGCCAGAACAAGGTGCCTTGGTGCCAAACAGCCAAGGCACATCCTCCCCAGGGACAGAGAAACAGCAGACATGAAGCTGTTGCTCAGCCAGTCGCTCAGGAATGCGGCCAGGTGATGCACAGTAGGAGGAAGTGAGGAACAGGAGGGTGAGGGAGTCAGTGGGCAGGTGGACAAAAGCAAATAAAAGCAGCAGAGGCAAGCAGGTGGGGTCAGGGTGCCCCTCACAGTGAAGCAATGTGGCCACCTGCTTAACGCTTCTCAAAAGGATGCATTTTAGATGTATTGAGAATCAGAGTCACTGGCTGGGCATTGTAAAGTGTGCGGCCAGGAGGACAGAAACACACGTTTCAAAGCATGGGCCCAGTTCACACTCCCTCTGTGTGCAGTTTTCTCTCAGCGTCACGGTGAGCTGAGAAGATGTGCCACATGGTCCATCTGGGGTCACCTAGGGTCTTCTTCCCCAGTGACATTCACTCGTGCTTTCCTCTGTGACCAAAAGACAAATCACACGGTGCGTGTGTGTGTGTGTGTGTGTGTGTGTGTGTGTGCAGTGATCAAGGTGATTAAAGAGGGAGTTAAAAAATAAAGTAGGGCTCTAACAAAACAATAAACAAAAGATCTGAAAGCAATGAGCTAAAGGGCACTGAGAGACTGGAAACCCCACTTCGCCCCAGTTGAAGCGAAGGAACAGATGTGGCCACAGTGTATACTGTGGGACTGGATTCCTGGCTAGAGTTCTGAGAAATGTAAAGGGCTCTTCCGGGTGGTTTGACTGAGAGTATGAGATGGAGTTGAAATTCCCTGTGGGCCTCTGAGAGGCAGGCACCCTTCTGCTCGTTTCTCTGGGGAAACAGGAAGTTCTCATCCAGAGAGGCCTGGGCTTGGATCAAGCCATTTCCCAGCCAGGGCAGCAAGGCAGGAGGGGAGCTGGCTGGTGGCCTGCACAAATGAGAGGAGTCCGCACAACTCAGGAAGACGATGGGGAAGAAGGTCGCACGGGAATCGTGGAATGAGAAAGCCCAGGTCCCAGACACCATGCGATAAAGGGGACAGGACAGCAGGAGCCCAAGGGGGGGAATCAGGCTGTCCCCCTGGGGCCTGTCCAGCTGAATGGACACTCCCGAGCCTTCACTTCCGGCACAGAACAAGGAAAGAGGCTCAGAGGCTTTTACTGCAGATGCCAGAAATGACTTTTTTTTCCTGGGAAAATTGACTACATATCACTGAAAAGCAGTAGGAAAAACACGTCAAAAAATTTGTGGAACTCTCACAATGCCAGTGTTGATACCATCTGTCAACTTCAGGACGACCCCCAAATGATGCAGAAATGAAAGCTTCCAGAAAATAAACCAATTTTGTTGTTTCTGAGGAAGTACAGGGCTGGAACTTAAACATTTCCCCTCCAAGGAGGCTGTGTGTATTGTAAGGAATAACTGGATTACAAGACCTTCCTTGATGCTTTCCTCTGTGCCTTTTGTGTATAGCTCTGTAGGAAGCAGCATAAGAAAACACCTGCGAACCCAGGAGCTCGTGTTCTCGTTATTTGTGTGTCTGGGAAGCGCTTGGCTTCTTCCGCTGAGAAGAGTCAGGTGACAGGAGCAGAACACACAGCAGAACAATCTCAACCAGAAACACAGGCCTTGGGGGTCGTGAGAGACAGCCGGCCAACACCACAAAAGACGGAGAGAGAGGAGAGAGTGTTTACCAACGGTGGGAGTGGTGGCTGCGCTCAGGGAATTGGTGGACGAGATGGAAGAAGTGCTTTCCGCGCGGGCTAAGGGTGCTATTGGCGGAGGGCTGGCGGAGTGTACAGGAGGGCTAAAGGGCCTGGACTGCGGGAGAAGAAAAGAGGCGGACAGTTAGACACACGGCTTGTAGCGCTTTGCTTCCGTACTTTTAATGTCTCCCAGCCCTGGGTCGGACAACAGGGGCTCCTAGGGTCTACCGATGACTTCCTGTGCACCCCAAGGTGGACTCTGTGTGGGGCAGCGCTGGAGGACCCTAAACCACAGCCAGACAAACTCCAGGCTTGGAGGAGCTGGGGTCTGAAACGTCGTTCCCCAAGGTCCCCGGGACTAGGAGAGCAGCGCAGTGTGAGAGCTCACTCACATCTGAAGATCTTTCGTACGAAATCCTGGCCTCTGCCAGCCAGGCCACGATCCAAGTGCTATGGAGGTTGCTGCCTGTGACTCTGCACAGCTGCGGATGGGATTCACCTCTGCCACAGTCCCTGAGCTGTCCACACAGAATGCGCCACCCCTCCCTCACCCTTCAGAGAGTGTGAGCAACTCCAGCTACTCATCCGTCGGGCCACCACTCCCCTCTTAACGTTCGCCAGAGTGCCACCCACCGGTTTTTGGTCCCCACTGGTGTCAGGACCCAGGATCAGATGAGGGCCCGAAACCGACTCTGGCTCCTGCTCGGAGTTGGACAGAAGCAGATGAAGCTTGTGGAAGGAAACCTCTCTTTCTAACGGGGTTGGCACAACTGAACATCCGTCTCTTCCTTTGCAGAGCTGAGGGCCCATGTGTCCTATTCCTGTCTCCTCAGACCTTGGCTGCGAAGCTGCTGGGGAACCTTCGCGAGCCACCTGTGAGGTCTGGGCGCGGGCGTCTAAGTCTCAGCCCCCAAGTGGACTGCGAAGTGGTAGGGTTAGGCTGTACACACCTGTGCACCGGAACCACCTGCTTCTGATGGGGGGCATAGGGGCACCTACCACATCTCCGACCCCAGGTTTCCCTGGAGGCAGCTTCGGTCGTGACGGGGGCCGGGGAGGAGGTGGCGGTGGAGTGCTGCTGCCGCTGCAAGGGACCAAGGGGGTGGCTGGCCGGGCAGGCGACGACGCACCTGGAAGACAGGCTGGCGTTAGGGGTGGCTGGACGCCCGGGGCAGAGAGAGCCCACATCACCCACGATGCTGATCACTGTCGATTTTATTTTTGGCGACTACTGCACTAAAAGCTGCAGCGTGCGGGGTTTTTTTTTTTCTTTTTTTTTAATAAAGAAAAAAAACTTACTCGAACTATGGTTGATGGCGGAAGCTGAAGCTCGTTACCTTTTGTTGTCATGGACACCCACTGAAAGGTAAATCCTTTGCTACACTCTTTTTGAGACAGAGTGTAAGTTCTTATGACTTCTGGGTGGCTGCTAGGTGCTTTCCACTTTGGTCATAGACCCACCAGACTTTGGACAAAGTTTTTGATTTTTGTTTGTATTCACAATATATTTATGCCCAAGGTGAAAACGGAAGAGAACTTGGATGAAGAAAAATGACTTATCCACGTGGAATTTCTCGTTTTTAAAGGTGGATCAGACAATTAGGCTTCTGACCATGTGTCAAAATACAAACTTTATGGCTAACTTTATCAACGTAGCCAGACACTTGCTGCAAAAACAAAATGGGGCAAATGATAAGAAAGTGAATTGGCTGCTGGGTGAGCACTTTGCGGTTTGAACCTTCAGGATAGGAGCGCACCAAATTTGGAAGTTTACTTTGGGAAGGTGAGGCTTGGATGCCTGTCCCTGTGGAGTTTACCCATGGTGATTTCGTGAGGAATTTTGGAAGGGACTCTTGGATTTACTTTTCTGTTAGCCCATGACAAGCACACGAACACAGATGTCACACAGAGGCCGGCATGCACACCATCAGCACACCAGCGGGTCTCTGCTTCTGGGGTCCCCTGCCTTCAGTCATGTGTCTGAGATGCACGGAAGGCCACTCGGCCGCGAACTTAGGGGGTCACGCCCATACGAAGCGGTTGCTGTTCAGAGGTTTCCTCACTTTGGTTAGAAGCACAGGTTTCCAATTGTCTCCCCAAACCTGAGAAATCCCACTTCAGGGAGGGATCTCTTACCCTTCTCCCTCATCTCCCCAGCTTGCAGCCTCCCTCACAGCCACAGCACGGCGCTGGCACTGCCTTCTCTGGAGTCCTGCCCCAGCATCTCAGACTCAAAAGTTTTGAATTTTCAAAGAGCCTTGAAGTTAAGTAGTCAAACCCCCATCTCCGAAACTGTCTCCTCTTCGGAGTCCCCAGGCACGAGACACTTGCTTCTCTTTTTAACCACGCGAAATCTTGAGTGCGTTTCTCTGTATTGCTGTGCTGAGTAAAATCCCGCTGGTATAAAATCTACTCATGATAACTGCACCTGCCGCCCCCACCATCCGCACCTTCTGCGTTCTCTCTTCACTGCACTTTTTCTTCTCTGGGGCCAGGATCTATGCTAGGTCAACGAGGCAAGCTTCAGAGCAAGGTGCTGCTACATCTCAGTGGAAACAGGGATACGGACCTGCCCAAGACCACAAAGCTCGAATGTTCTACTTAACTCCAGAGCTCTTAAATCTCCCATGACTTTAGATAGACAGCAGAGCCTCGCTACATTTTGCATAAAACCTCTTCTTATTTTTGCTTAGTGAGCCTGCTCACATATCTTTCTGTGTAAATGCACTTAGTCTGTGGCTAAAGTTCTCTTTAGAAAAACAGAACCAGAAAAATGGGGAATGTTCTGGTAGGTCCACTGTAAAGTTTTCTTTGGGGTATTATGTAGGTAGATTTTTAGAAGATTGAAGTGACAGTGTGGGGATGGGAAATAAACCTTTAAACCATGGCTTTTGGCTTAAAACAAACTTTTGGCTTGTCTTAGGCAATCGAGTCCTTAAAAATATTGCATAAAAAAAAATCACAGCATAATGTACAGAGCTTAAAATCTCGTGGGGCAGCTCAGTTAGTAGCTGTCCAGGGCCCCGGGCCACAGGCTGGACACTTGTACTTCAAGCAGTGAGATCAGAACCAGAAGTCCCAGAGGACTCCATTGATGGGGTGGGAACCACATTCAGCTTTGGGAAAACCACGCTGAGGCCTGGCCCCAGGTATCTACGTGTTAGACATTTCTCTTCCAAGAAACAGATTTCTGAAGCAACCCCAGGAAGCAGTCAGCTGCTCTGAGTTTCCCTCCATGCTGCAGAAGAGAAGTTTAAAACCACCTTTCACTAATGCTGGGTGGTTACTGGGGTCTGTCCCTGGGGCAGTGGGGAATCGGGGACAACCCTGGATGGAGGGTGCGGTGGGTGGGCTGTGTCCTGCCCCCGCCTGCCTCTTGTCAGCTGAGGTATCTGCATCTTCTGAGCCTCAGTTTCCTTGTTTCTTAAATAAGATATCATTCTATCTTATAAGGTAACTGTGGCAGTGCAAATTGCAAATGCTCATGAAAGCATTTGCTAAAATATGAAATGCTACCCAAACAGAAGGCAACAGATACTGGTGATGGTGTAAAGATTATGTCTTTTGTTACAGATCCAACAACAACAACAACAAAAAGAGAAAATTGTTAATTGAAAAGTTAATTGTTTTCCTTTTTCTCTGTGGATGCCCCCAATGAACTTGCTTTTCTCTTTGCTGAATTGATGTAATAGATTTCTTTTTGTACAGTTAGAAGCCCCAGGTCATTTGGTCTAAACTCTGTTCTCCAGAACCTTGAGACTCCACAAAGAATCACCCCTGGAACATGACCCCGCACGCATCTGTAAGAAAAGTAGACCCAGTTTGACAAAGATAGGAAGTGTTAGTCCCTAAAGCCTAAGTGTTATAAAAAGCGGGGAATGAGAACCATTGCTCATCTTTTAAGCCAGAGGCCAGATCTTATTTTTTTGAATCTTAAGTTTACAATTTGCTAGTTTGGGTATATTTCATCAGTAGTAAGGTTAAGCAGCGAATAAACTGGGACTTTACTTATTTATGAGCTTCACAGGCCCGATTCGATCTTCCAATTAGAAACCGAATCCTTCAATGCCAGCGAAGTACAGCTTTTTCCAGCTCAATTATTAAGAATCAACAGTCTTTACTGGTAACTTTAAAAAATAATTTCCAAAAAGGTATGGAAAGTAAATATTAAAATAAAACTTTCAAAGATTCCCAAGAGAAAGCCAACACTGCTGTCTTCCTCCTCAGACTGACGGTCAATTCCATGAGACAAAGCTCTCCCAGGCTTTGTGGAAGGTGAGGGAAGCAAGGCTGATGACCCCCGCCTTACGGAGAGAATTGAGGCTCCCCTCTACAGGGACTGGGAAGCCTGGCTCGAGGCGCCCCCTAGAAAGCAACTCAGGCACAACCCTCTTGAAGCGTATCTAGCTTCTCCGGCTGTGCTAGCTGAAGGCTTCCCCTGCTGCCGTTCCAGGTCAGAGTGGAGACTCCCATCCCAGGAAAGACCAGAAAGCAACAGAGACTCAGAGGAGGGAGCTCGCCCTGCAGAATGAGAGACAGGACCACCGAGAGGCACATTTAGAGTGGGATTTGGAGATCTTGTGGGCAACACTGTATGGTACAGGTGGGTGTTTGTGGGGGAATAAGTTGGGGCATTTTGTGACTGAATCTTGCAAGAGCCTGGGCAGCACATGGATTAAGAACACGGGCTGGGGTCAGACGGACCTGAGTGGCTGCACCCCAGGTCTGCGACCCAGCTGTACAAACGGGCAAATTCTTTAACAGCTTTCAGCCTCCCTTTTTGCATTGGTGATAAAGGGAACATGACAGAACCGACCACGTAGGGCTGTAGTGTAGGGGGCACTGAGGGTGGTGCCTGGGGCAAGAACTGGGGTAGTTCTCATTGGTAAAATCAAGACCCACAGAGGTCCTGTGGTAGAGGCCTTGGCTGATTTTGTGTAATATAGTGCTGCCCAAACTTACTCGAGTGTTGAATAGTTTTCCTTTTGGAGGGGAAATTGGGCCAGAGGACACTCAGTGATGCAAAATATCGGCTTTGTGAGTGTGGTAAAGCCCACCTTAAAAAGCACAGAGGCATTCACAGACACAGAGCAAGCCCTGGAAAAACCTCCACCAGAAGTAGAAATGCCTGTCCTTTGTCTCCTAGATCCAGACATCTCACACTTGGGTGTCTTTCAGAGCAAAGGAAGAAAAGACAGCACCCCACCTCAAAGGGCCTGGACTGAACCCACATGTGCAGGAGGGAAGGACGTAGGACCTGGCCAGGGATGTGTGAGCAGCGTGGGATGAATGTCATGGAAAAGATGCACTGCAAAATCACATTTCCTTCGTGGGCACAGGAAGTGTTGTGGGCCTTTCAGAATTAGAAAACACACAACACAGCTTCAAACAAAGAAAAAAAATTAAATTCCATGTGACAATGTCCATCAGAGCCCCCGAAGGGGTGCATTTCTGGTAGATTTTCTCATCACCACACTTAGAGTTGAGCGCGTAGCATGTGATGGAGGTCAGGGGACAGTTTGTCTGCAGGGGCAGCCCGATGGGGCCAGGGTGAGACACGTCAGCTGCTCCCTTCCTGCCTCCCTCCCTCTCTTCTGTTAGTCTCTAAAATCTCCTAAGTTTCCTTTTCAAACCTTACAACTTAAAAGTTAGAGGGAATGGCATAGTTTTCTCCTTACTCATAAAAGAAAGAAAAAGAAAAAAAAGCAGGCTCACCCTCTCCCCACCTAAGGCCCTTGCAAAATACCTGACTTCTGGCCTCACCACACTGGCTGTGAAATCTGTCTTTCCAGAACCTTCCTGAAGGCCAAGCAATGATGTCACCATTTTCTTTTAAGACACGGATGCCTCCTGACTGTGGGGTGGCAGGCAGGGCTCGTCCGGGGCTGGGGTGCGAGGCAGGACACATCTGCAGACTTGGACCATGACTGCACTGTGAGCACTGGACGGGCAAGGACATGCCAGGGGCTGGGGGCACTGGACAGGGAGGAAGGCGGGAGCCCTGAAGCTGGTGCCAGGCGAGAGGAGGGTGTCGCTCACACTGCAGCAGCCACTGCCATATTCCCCGGCACATGAGCACACTCAACCCGCGAGACATACCACTGGTGGTCCCGGTACCACCGCCCGAGCCAGGTCCAGGGGACGAAACCACAGTCCTGTAGGTGGGTGGTGGCGGGGGAGGCGGAGTTGCTCTCTGCCCCAGCCCCCAATCCTTAGGAGATGAGATTGTTTCTAAGTAACCGTCTTTGATGAAGGTCTGCTCAGCAGCTTTCTTCTGGATTTCTTCTAAATTAAGTGGAGCCGGTGCATGGCGTGGGGGACCAGCCGGCCCTGGGGGACCCGGGGGACCCGGGAGTCCCGGGGGCCCAGGAGAGCCCGGAGATGGGGAGTCAGCCGGGATGTCTGATGCAGCCCCCGGGGACGCCACCTTTCCCCTCGGAGTCAACTCTGGAGTAACGTGTTCCAGGAACGTGTCAGAAAACTGCACCCACTTTTCTTCAGTGTTAACGGCAACGGACTTGGGGGACAGCACTGGGCCAAAAATGCTGTCCAAGTCATTGATGGATGGAAGTTTTTCAGTTTTGGCCTCTGTGGCTGACTGGTCATTTCCTGTGGTTAAAGTAGTTGATTTTAAACTTTTAATTGACTTTGTTCATCTTATCTGTATGGGGGATGGGAGAGCTGAGGCTGAGCCCATAAGTGTATTTCCTTGGGAGGGGCCGTGGTGGGCATCGTTCATGATGGAAAAATACTGGATTATGATCTGAGGGGAGGTCGGCCCCGGCTCCGTGATGGGAGCATCATGCTTGTATGCTATCGCTTGCTCTTTTGCAAAGTGACCAGTTTTGGCCATTTTCATCATTTAAGCGCTGAGCAGGATACATCTCTCCAGGCTGCTCAGCAGTGAACAAAAGCGATCATTCTGAGGGGAGGTTGTGGCTCACAGAGAGGCACAGACTCCCTCCCAACAGGGAGGTGTATCTGGGTGCCGGGCCTGACAAGACACACACACAAAAAGCACAAACAGCTGCGCACTGACAGTCACCCTCACGTCTTGTAAGGGTAGTCTACTCTAGAATGTTAAGTAGAAACACCAGGAGAAACTGATTGTATCTGTTAGTTTAAAAAAAAACGGATATCACTTTTAGCTGTATATCCTCTTAAATACATTGGAAAGACTTAAAGATTAAGAGAGAGACCCTCAAGCACACATATACAAACACGCACATACACACCCCAGGTACACACACAGGCTACTGAGCAGGCACCTACTACTTATTACTACGATGGCTATGTGTAAACCTGTTCAGTACAGAAGAAAATCGCCAACACGGCTGTGTCATTTCTTTTCCTGTCAAGTCTAGCCTGTCATAATTGGGATTCTGGCATAACTGGCTTTCTCTGAAGCCATGATACAGAAAAAATTGCTTTATTTTAAACATTAACAGCAGCTATTCTTTATAATTTGTATCAACAATACAAGAAAAAAATGTAAAAAACTATCTGCTACAGCTTGCAGGAGATATCTGATAACAACTGCAATTTGAGGGATTGTAATTATTTATTTTAGCAAAGGCTATTCAAATCAGAAGTTACTACTTAAGTAACTGGAAGGCACTGCTTTTAAATAACTCTTGGACAGCAAGAACTAGCTTGATATTTCCATATTTCTATTCTGAAAGAAATGAACTTTCAAGGCTTCAAGGCTGCAGAGAAATGGGCTAGCATTTTGCACGACCCACCGTATTTATACTCATGTTGCTGGTAGGGTTATTTACAGCTGACATAACTGATGGGAACCTGGAAGGCCCCGATGGCTTGGGCTTGCAAGCACCTTAATTTATGAGATGCTGCATGATTCTCTATCGGGATTGAGTCAATATCAATTTCTTAAATGATTGTGTCTCCCTTTCATTTTTATGGATAAATATCCTACTCTATTCTTATCAAACTCACCAGACTGCATAAATAGCAAAGGAAGAAGCTGCAAAAGAATTCCAAAAGTGACAGCCGCATTCTAGGGTCCAGATATGGAAATAGCCACTACTACTTCTGCTCTGCTCCTGCAGAGGGACTGGGCGGGTTACAAATTGTACAACACACAGCACTGATTGTCAGAGATGGTAAAAGTGTGCTCTGGGAGTCATCTGTCTAACAGGCTGTGGCTGTTCCTTGCCATTTCATAATCTCCACGCAGCTCTTCCCTGTGAGGTGCTAAGTACTTGAATGGCTACTACTGGGGAAAAATCCCCACCAATAGCTTACTGCCCACCCTGGGAACTTTGGGACGACTGCATAGACTGGACAGTTTCAGTTCTAGCATGATTTTTATTGGTTCTTGGAAAAATACAAATTGTGCTTTGAGACTATTAATTTTAAAACCATTAAATGTGATCTAAGAAAGCGAGTGGCCCATTTAGCAGTGACTTTTCATGTTACCATTTTTTGTTTTGTTGTTAGAAGTAAATGTGGGCCTTGTCCACAAAATTACACCACAGAAAAATTAACTGAAGTGTTACTACTCTTATTTTTCGTGGAGCGTGAGTGGTTTTAAAAGAAGGCTGCACAATAAACTGTATCAGACGTGAAACTAAATGCCATCATTGTACCACAGTAGTGCAAGACAGACGACAACCCACGGAGGGCACGCTGAGGCCCAGGGCCACTGCTGTTTGCCAATCATCTGGGGACAGAAAAGACCAAAAGTTTACCTGGTCCGACCGTTAAGGGGGAGCCTGTTCGAGGTGGGGTGGCTGGGACGTTTTTTGGAGGCAGTGGTGGAGGTGCTGTAAAGAGAGAGCAAGTGTTAGCGACCTTGTTCCTTCTTGCACCATTCCTCACCACACTGCAGATTCGCAGGACAATTTATGTCGTCAGTCACATGCCTGACGCTGGAGATCGGACAGCCATTTAATGGTCTACAGTTTTTAATGTTCAAAGCCAAAACACTGAAGCAGGACCCATTCAGATTCTCCCATTTTACTACAACAAGAGTTTGTCAAAAGCATGTTACATAATGATGGTAATATCAACAAGTCATTCATTCAGATTTTGTTGAAATCTTCATACTGCAACTAAGTTGCATCTCCTGCACCAGTTGATAATGGGCTGCAGAACTCGATGCCTGATAAGGAATATCATGTTAACACACAGCTAAAATCCAGGAGAATGGTAACAGGTTATTTGGAGTCTCAGGGAGGTATTTTTAACCCAGTGTTGATATTATTGCCTGGATTGAGCCTGGAATGTTTTCTTAAAGTTATATTTCTTAAATTTTAGAGTATTTTTGAAAGTCAGAAGCACAGTGACTTGAGTCAAAAAAGAATGACCAGGGGGCCGGGATTTAGCTCAGTGGTTCCGCCACCTGCCTCTCAAGTGCAAGGACTTGACTGAGTTCAATCCCTGGTACCGGCCCCCACCAAAAAAGAAAAAAGAATGACCAGATTTTCTTGGTAAAAACTGTAGCCAAACAAAATGTTGAGAAAGAAAAAGTATAGTAGTATTATGGCCCCCTGCCAAGGGATTCACCCTTGTGAATTGGGCTTGTCACTTTGTGGATAAAGTTAGAAATTATTGTTTTTATGGATAGATTTTTTTTCTTCTTCCTTTAAATGTATGTTTTCTTGTTCTTGCCCATGTTTGGTAGATTCAAAGAGTGAACTTGTTGATGGACACATAGGCTGTTATGGCTTTTATCTTGATGTCCCCCTAAAGCCTCATGAGCTCATAGGATTTTTGGAGGTGGCTGGATCTAGGGTGTGTGATACTGGGATTAAAGGTGGGTGATAACCAAATGGGTTTAGCATAGTTCTGGGTATGGACAACGGAAGCCCCACCTGGGGTGTGGGTGGCACCATCAATAGGCTTGTAGCCTGGGTATAGGGAGAGAGGGAGAGGGGGAAGGCAAGCTTGCTCTTGCTGCTATTTGCTTGCTTGCTGCCTCCTGCCATGGACTGCTTGTCCTTGTCACTCTGCCTTGGAACCAGCTGACTATGGTCTGAAACCTCTACAAACTGTGAACTAAAATAAAGCTTTCCTCCTTTAACTTGTGGGTGTTGGGTATTTTGTCTCATCAATGAGAAAAAAAACTAAGACACAGGCTGAGCCCATGATGTAGCTATTATGAGTTGTGCTACCATAAACACGAGTATGCAAGGATCACTGTTATATGACGTCTTTAATTCTCTTGGGAAGATGCCTGGAAGGGGAACAGCTGGGTCAGATGGGATTTCTAATTTTAGATTTTTGAGGAATGCCCATACTGAGTTCCGTAGTGGTTTCCTTAGTGTGCACTCCCACCAACAAGGTAGAAGGGCTCTTCCTTCCCAATAGCCTCACAAGCATTTGTTATTATTTCATTTCTTGATTATGGCCATTTTTGTGGGGTACGGTGGGATCTCAGTGTTGTTTTAATTGGGATTTCTATAAAGGCCAGAAATGTTGAACATTTCTTCTATTTATTGGTTATTATTATTATATTATATAATATTATTATACTGTTATAATAAATATATTAATAATACATTATTATAATATAATATTATTCTTACATTTATTGGTTACTTGTACTTCTTCTGTGAAGTGTCTATTCATTTCACCTGCCCCCCACCCCCTGTACGGGGACTTGAAGTCAGGACCTTGTGCTTGAGAGACAGGTGGCAGAACCACTGAGCTAAATCCCTGGCCCACCAGCCTACTTTTTGATCCAGTCTTCCAGTGAATATTTTAAGAAGCATTTCTCATACGCATCTTGCTACTGAAGGAGAATTCAATGGATCCATCACACTGGAGGCTTTGCCCAAGTAAGCAAAGCACAGCCTCCCCAGGTGAAGGGTTGGACACATACATCTCCAGACCTCCTTCTCCAGCCACCCAAGCAGGCTGGAATGAGCAGGTCGATGTCCCTGCGCTCCTATCCCAGTTTCTCACTACCGTCCAGTCTTGTCTTTCTTCTGTCAATAGCTGCTCTTTCATCATGTCCTTTCTGTCCTAAGCAGGTCTGCAGGACTAGCAGAGACTGTATCGTCTTTGTGCGCCTCTATGTTGGGCAATATCCCAGGGCTTAGTCCAGAGCAGATTCTCTGGCTCATTTCCTTCGCATTTGCACACAAAGATCGGGGATGAAGGAATTAATGAAGGAAAGAAACGAATGAGCAGCGGGATGGCAGATGACTCCTCGATCATTTCCATTCACTGATGACTTTATCACTGCTTACATCGCATGCCATAGTCTCTTTAACTCTAAAACCTTGTTGGCCTGACATTTCTTCTTAACACTGTGGGGCTTAAAGATGGCTTACGTGGACTTTCTAGAGTGGCCTCGTTTCACTACGCAGACAGATAGAAGAATGAGTCTCTCATTTTTCAGACAGAGCAGACAGACACAGAACTTACTTCCAGTGGGAAAAGGCCTTGTTAGCTTTGGTGACTCCAGGCTTGGATTAATTGGTTGGCCCGAGCCCCATATTTCAGGCTGATCTAAAAGAACTGGAAATATAAAAAGAGAATTTTCCAAGGTCAGTTCAAAAAAAAAAGAACCATGCGCCACCTTGACTTTAGAACTTAAGCTTTCAGTGTAGCTGAGTTTCACAAAATAATCTAGCCCTCGTGGCAAGCTGGAAGGTTACTTTGGGAATGTGTCCCTCCTCCTTCTTTGGGAGCAGAGACTGGAGCACGGGGTGCTAGGGTGTGAGGGGTGTATATGTACACAGAGCCATGGAAAAGCTTTCAAAATAGAACTTGCATCTTCTTCCCCTGGTCACATAAGGATATTCGGAATAGCAGTACCCACCCTAGCTCTATTTTTGGTGCCCATTTGAACATTCAAGCATTAATTGTGGACATTTACTTTGTTATAAGGAAGTTTATTTAAAGTGAACCATGAATATGCTTTAAAACTGAACATGTCTGGGTTCTTTGCAGTGGTTCCTATCTTTCAAGTTGTTCCAGGGGCCTTAAATAAACCTTTCATAATATTAAAAGCATCACATTATTCTAAAAATGCTTGGTGACTATCTCCACAGAACCAGGAGAGTAGGCAAGTGCTTAGGACTGAAATAAGTCCAGACATTTAGGTGTTGGGACTGAGGACATAGAACTTAATACTTTTCTTTTGTTCTGATTTTTAAAAATTGCTATGGTAACCAGGTACCCATTACATCCTTCTCAGCAAGCAGTGGCATAATTCATTACACTGGACAGCCCGGCTGGGAGGTCAGTTGGACCTGGATTTGAATTCAGCCTCTAGATTTACCGCGGGACCTTCGGTAAGTCATGTAACCTCTCTGAGTTTCCTTCCTTCCTTCCGTGTAAAGCGTTACCGATACTGGAAAAGGCAATGGATGTAAATACAGAGTCCGTGAAAGGCACCCGGATACCTGGAGCTCAATTACGTATTATATTTTGATCACTGGGTGGTTGACTTCAGGGACACTTTGGGGAGAGGAAACCAAGGATTTCAAGTGATTAAATAACTTGTCCATAGAAAAAGTAAGGAAACCCAGATCTGAACCAGGCACATTTGATCCCAAATTATAGGATTTTTCCCCCCAAGCCTTTTGAAGAATCAATCAAAAGAAGTGAATGGGCCCGAAAGGGGGTACGGGCGTGAGAAGAGCTGGAGTAGCTGATGCAATGGCGAGGATTTTAGAGAACTTCAGGGGCTGCTACCACTCAAAGGACAATCAAGTCAGAGCCCGGGGCGCAGCTGTTGCCATGTGGCGCTCAAAGGCAGTCCTGGCGCCTGTACTGTGAAGATGCCGCTGGGAAGCATCGTTTTCACGAACTCGAAGTGGGCACTGCCGTGACTTTTAAGACTTGTTTTTACGTTTTATGTGAGTCTCCACGCAGTTACGGAGTTTCTTAAAGAGGCAGATTCGGGTCATCAAATCACATCCCACTCCGGTCACCTTCAATCACGTCATTAAAAGCGAGGCTGATCAGAGATGGGCTGGATAATAAGACAAACTATAGCCTTACTGCAAGGCCACCTTTACATAGGGATTCTGAGTTATAGACGCTGAAGCGGGGTTTGTGGATGCTTTTTCTACGTTTTCTTGACTCAATTACTAGGAATATTGAAGTGTGGCTGACGGCTGGCGGCTTCCCAGATCCATTCTCCATTTCTCTATAACAAAAGAGTTCTTAGCCAGCATCAAAGTCTCTCCAGTGGGCTTTGCCAAGGAGTGATGCGTGCTTCTTCTAGGCTTTCCTCTTACAGCAGGCAGAGATTCCACTGGCCTCTCCCAAGCCCCTGCCCGTGACCAGCAGGGGTGAGAGCCGGCACAGCCTTCTTGGACAGAGACTGGGGAATCACGGCAGAAAACAGAGCTGCCTCACTGGCCCTACACTGCTAACCTCTAGACTGTGAACACGAGATGGGATTCTCCCTTGTTTAACTTACTACCCTTCGAGGTCTCTTTGTTAACTGTAACTTAGTTTACTCATCAGGTTTCCAGGTCTAGTTTCCCTTAACTTTGAAGGAGCTCCACCAATGGGCCTGGATCGATGCCATTTTAGCATACACATACCTCGGTGTTCCCAAGTCAGACAACTTTCACAGAGACATTCTGTGTTGTCCAACAGGCTCGCCAGGGGCACACGCGTTGGGCATGGACACATTTCAGGGAGAGATTGGATCTCTTTTGCAAAGGGCTTATTTTATGTCAGCAGGGTATACATTATTACCATCCAGAAAATCTGATTCATTTAAAAATGTCAGCTATTTAACTCTAGAATAATAAGGACTTGCAGGTCAATGCAACAATAATGCCAGAAATGAAGCTCTGTCTTTTTCTAAGTTGCACAATGGCTGAAAATCATTCCTGAGTCTCAAGTCAGCAAACAACAATTACAGTGAGTGATCCAAGCGGGCTCCAGAGTCGGCACGATCAGAGTCTAGCTCAGCAGTCGGAGCCTCGCCTGGGAGGAGGCGTCTTTCCCAAGCCTCTGCTCATGGCCCCCCATGCTGGGCACTGGGCCATGGAACATTTACTGCCTGGTAAGGACAGGTGAAGATTAGCATTAACCTTTACTGACCTCTTCTGAGGTGTGAAGTTGTCAGCTACTAGACATTTCTGAAAGCAAAATTTCAAATGCCCAAATAGAAATGTGCAAACCAAATAGAAGGTTAGTTCTTAACAGCACATCTCTGAGGTGATCACACAATAGAGTGCAAGTTTAAATAAAAGATTTGTTACATAAAAGACTGCCAGTATCCTCCTGGAAACACGCCTTCTCTCTTCAGACAGGCTCGCCCCATCATTCTGGCCACTTTGTGAAGCAGCTCTGGAGTGCTCCTTCCTGAGTGTCTGTGCAAGGTGTGATAAAAAAGATGGTGAACGCTGCTACCAAGCGCCATCCAACAGAAGCAGCTCCTAAAATCACAGCTGCTCACCCATGTTGTTCACCAGATCTGGCATTGTGTGACTTTCTGGCTCTTCCCCCAAATCACAGTGGCCATGAAAGGGAAACGTTTCGAATCCATTCAACGCCTCAAGGCAGCCGGAACTGTGAAACTAAAGACACCCAGGAAAGAGGACTCCAGAGCTGCTTTGGAAAGTGACAAGAACAAAGGGATAAGTGTGTTCAGAGTAGGGAGAAGGATTTTGAGGGGAATTCCTACCAATGTGTCTTAAAATTTTAAAGACTTTTTCAATTACGCATCATAGATTGAAATCCATTTTTCCCATGAAGATCTGATGACATATTAAAAAATGCCTAATACATATATTTATTCTAGATAAGTTATACTGTAATGGAAAGAAAAATGAATCTACACATCAACAGCATTTTCTTACCTTCTGTCTTCTGCTCATCGAAAGCCGATTCTAGTGGGGGGCCGAAGAGGGGTGCAAGGGCTGTAGTGTCGTCAGGGGGCTTTTTGCTAAATCACACAGGGGAAAGCAGAGTAAGACAGGGCTCAGTGATGCACGCTCAAAAGGGCACACAAGCTCTCACACATTTGGCTTTGGTAAAACAGTGTGTGCGCAACCCCGTGCATATACACACACGCGTGTCCATAAAACAACTGCAGAGCGAGGAAGTATTCCGTGGCGGTGTCAAATACGGGACAGGAGTATCTCTGGGAGATAAAGATCCTAGATCCTAAGATCTCAAGCCATTTATATGCATCTACACCACACCTCTGCGTGGTGTAGTTTATGACTCCTGGAGGAGAACAAAGGATATGCAGTGATAAGCTGGCAGGGAGTTTGAGTAAGAAACGAGGCCACCTTCTGACATCACCCTCTCCCCTCTCACTCAACAGACCACTTACACTGTGCTAATCCCCCAGCACCGCGTGTCTCAGAGCTACAGGAACATTCAGGAGTCAGGGGAATGGGACGATGGTAAGCCAACGCTCACCCTTTCTCCTAACTGCTCGTCTATACTAGTTATTAGGAAAAGGGAAAACAGGGTGGTGGGGCACACTTGTAATCCCAGCACTCTGGGAGGCTGAGGCAGGAGGGTGGCAAGTTTGAGCCCAGCCCAGCAACTTAGTGAGATCCTGTCTCAAACAAACAGACAAAAAAGATTTAGGAAAAGGATCAGGGATGTAGCTCAGTATGAAGGCCCTGTGTCCAATCCCCAGTACTACACACAAACACCCACCCCTAGAAAGAAGAGGAGGAGGAGAAAGAAGAAAAAGAAAAAAAAAGGTGTACAACTTCCTACATTCCTTCTCCAAGCGTGGCTCCACTCATCGAACCTAAAAAGGTCTTTGTGTGTGGTGAGGGGGAAGTGAGGAGGAGGACAAGGGGGAGGATGGAGGAGGAGGAGGAGGGAAAAGCTTTTAAAAGACCCAGATTTTAAAGAGACATGGGCGTCTTTTTGTAAACCCACACACATGTACAATAATCACTCAAGAAATATACTGTGGAAGGTGGAATGCATCGAGAAACTGTATCTAGTTAAACAAGCCTCTATTCCGGATCCACACTCCGGAAACCACAGGACCTCTACATGGCTCCTGGCTTCCTCAGGAGAGAGGGACCCACATCGCAATGGACAGTTACTTCAGCTAAGGGCAAGGCGACTTCCCTGGAGTAGGGGGCTGCATTTAGGAGGAAGAACCTGTTTGCACCCCGCCATGGATGTGTGGACTTCGCAGGAAGCCTTTCAGTCACAGGGGCCCAGTTCAGCTCACGGGATAGCTGCTCGATCATTCAAAGCGCACAGTGCCTTCCTCGCATAACACACGGCGAGTGTCTTCCACGCTCACCTTATGAGTTCTGGAGTTGGTGTGGAACGCCTGGGTCTCGCCACTTCTTCACCTTATGCACAGGACAAGAGACCAGTTTAGGCCCATTTTTACCATTCCCTTCTGCTATGTCTTACGAACTATGTTGAAATACACAGAGATTTAAGTCCCATCAATAAACAATTCAATCTGAAAACTTCACAAGACCAACCCTCTCTCCTGGCAATGCAACAGCCATCTGTCTGGTGCTTGCAGTGGTACTTTCTCTGGCATTTATACAGCCTCATTAACCAAGAAACTACCATAAACAAAGCCATGGAGTGGAAGATCTGTATACTGTGGAGCTTAGGGACAGCATACCATTCTTCTCTCTTACCACAGGAGGATGCTAAGCCAGGCCATCTGTACTTGGTACACGAATCCAGTTATTCTCTGCCTGTTCTTTTCTTGAAATTTCAAGAATTGGTTATATTTTTAGCTATGAATCATGCATTTAGAATTTCCTAGAACGTGTTGGGTGCAGCAGAGGGAATCATGCCCTATATAGTATAACCTCGGGTGACTAAAATGTTTCGCATCCAATCCTACCAGAATCTGCAAGTTGCCTCCATCTTTGATTCCTTTCTGCCCCTCTGTTCTCCCACCCCTAGGTTATATTCATTTCTAAACTTAAATGATATAGTAAGAGTTGACAAATACGGGAAGAAAGAAGCAATGCTTTTTCAAAAACATATTCTTTTTGTGAATTTAAACACTAATCAGGAGAACCCCCAGAGGTCCCTCATCGTAAAAAGGGTTCCTTACTGTAAAAGTTTGTTTTTTAAAGTAAGCCTTAGAAATCAAACCAAGGCTGAATAATTCAAATGTACATATACTCCAAGATCCGAGGAACTGTTCTTTCTTTTACAGTGTACTCTATTTCTGGTAGCTAAGATATACTTACTGGATAAGTTCCTTTTAATTGCACCCTAGAATTAGAAATAGACACTATAAGGCTTAAGACCACATATATGTTATGTACAATATGTATTATTTCTGTTATTGCAATTAAACTAAACTCAAAGAAATGCAGGAGGGGACAAACGAAATTCTCAGGACAGCATTCATGCTGGAACTTGCACACACACACACACACACACACAAATCAATTTTCATTTTACTCAAAAGTTATAGCGAGGAAGGGAGGGTGAATCGCAAGTCTTCTGAATGAGAAAACCCCTTACCTGGGGAGGTTTGGGACTTTCAGAGAAATATCCAATGGTCCATTAAAAACAAAAGCCCTCTTGAACTTTAGCAGATAAAGAAGTAAATCCAAGTTTCCCATATGGTTGATATTTGAAAATTTAGGAGTGCTGTCTGATTCTACTTAGGTGGGGCCCCAAATTGTTCGGAGAAACAATCACAACTTACTCAGTGGTTTAAAAGGATAAAAAAGGCCGATGTTAAAGAGGGGACCTGGGGGAAACTGCCACTTGATGGCTGTCGTTTCAGGGAGCCAGGGGATTCCGTGATGTTCACAGATCTTCCCTCCAGGGTCTCCTGCCAATCTACGGCTCAGGAGCGCTTGCTTTAGCTCACAGCACTGTGACACTGGGATGGGAACAGCCCAGGTAGGAGAATGCAATAGGAGCAGGTCAGTTCTAGATCCTCAAGGCTTCTACATAAACATATTCAGGTCACAGAAGAATGGTTCAGTATGAAGTCTGGGCTCCAAAGCAGAAGCCGTGAAAGGTTCTTAGCAGGAGGTGTGAGCAGAAAAGTGGACCACCAGGAGGACTGCGTCTGGGACAGGGCTTGGATCCGTGCGTGAAGAGGCACGGTCTTCGTCTGAACAAAGACCCACCGCGTGTTTTCTGGTGGGCGACTTCATCTCTCCCGTTTCATTTTTGGTCTTGTTTTGCCTGATAATACAATCCTTCCCCTACTATGTGCTCCAGACAGAGAACACTGCGTGACAAACAAAAATAAAGCTGTGGACCAAAGTTTAGAGAACAAATCATGTGAGTGAAGCTAAAATACTTTCCTGGGTTAAGGACCCTGACAGTGAGGACATCAAGGAGGGCTTGCTTTAGTCCTCCGTACGGAAGCACAGACAGGCTGGCAGTGAGGCGAACTGAAGTCCAGCTGTTGGGGGCCCTGGGGGCTGAGCTGGGACCTCTGCGTCTCTCTGGCCTACCCCTTTGATTTAAAATGTGATAGAAAGGCAGGCAGCTTTCCTACCCATCGATTCCTAGGTGTGGCAATTCATCCCAGGGATATTTATCATTGAGGCACTGAAGAAAAATTCCCTGTAACATTTTTTATGAAATGCTCCTCTCGAATGAATGATTACAAGTGCCAGCCAAATACAGAAGAAACACACAAGAAAACACTGTTGTTTAGAAACTAGAAAGAGTAAGCTATCACCAACTTAGACAGGAACAGATATTTGAGCGATCAGAAGCCAAAAGAAAGTCCCTTTTGCAGCTGGGTCTTGAATACGGATCTCTGCCTGTCCTGATGTGCCCGCAAGAAAATCTAGCACTGCTAGATTAGGTTAGGGTGCTGCTGACCACACTCGGGGAGGGCACCACTGGATTAAAAATCTCCCCACTGAGCCACGGTATTTCCCTTCTTCAGGGAACCTCAGCTCTAGCGCAAACAGAACCACGAAGTTTCCTCTGGGGAAGGTATTTGCCTCAAACAGTAATTGATTAATTGGACTGACCAGGGCCTGGGGATTTTTAGAGAGCACTGTTTCAATTTCATTTCCTCTCTTAAGGGAATAAGTAGGGTGTGTGTGTGTGTGTGTGTGTGTGTGTGTGTGTGTGTGTATGTGTGTTCAATCAAGCACAGCAAAGCTCTTCTTTTTCATGCTTTAAATGACTGAGATTTCACTTGGCGTCATTATCTTCCCTGCCAAAGTCATCTTCAGTGATGAAATTTAGACTGGTGGTGGTTTAGGGGCCTGACCTGAAAGAGTGTCCCCCCCACCCAAATGGAGAGTGTAAGTGTGTGTCAGTATGCTGGCCAACATCCACAGGGGCCCAGGGACACAGTGTGAATTCAGGTTTAAAACACACTGTGGCTTATAAATTGATTCCTTCCCTTCTTTACAGTTTTACTGTCCTTCATTATTGCTTTGCTATCAACTTCTACAGTGCTTTCCAGCCAATCTTCAGTCCTTGCACACACACACACACACACACACACACACATGCACACGCAGACATCTATTTTTCACGTCTAGCACTAGAGTTAAAATTCCCACATATTAATTTAGTCCATTATGGGCAAGTCCTCTGATGGTTATGAAATATCACTTCAGACAGCCAGAGCCTTCGAAGGTGTCCACCTAATTCATCTGCCTCATTCACACCGGGTTATCATAAATGCAACGGAAATCGAGCCGGCCACCTTGCCTCTAGCAGCGGTCTTCTCTATATATGTTTAAGGGAAAAATGTTGAGAGTTCTTACCGGGCTGCGCCTCTGTGATCAGCAAAAAGGGAGAGAGAACAGACACCTAGTCAGAGAACGATGCCATCAGTCAACAGGCATGGGTAGCAGAAGACTTCCTAGCAGCCCCCAGTTCCACTCCAAACCAGGCCGGGCCAGACGCAGCGGGCACAGGTCCAGGGCTTATCCGAGGTGGACGCTTAAAAGGGACTGGGCTATAGCACAGCTTTGCCTGCGCGGCCGTCCATGTTTCAGAAGGTGCACAGGAGGGCAAAGCAGAAACACAAAATCTCTGATGTGTTTAATGTCTTGTCAGGAGTTTTCCTCCGAGTTATTTGGGGGGAAGGGACCTGGAGGACAAATGGTGCAGGAACACACTTTCCCGTGGAACAGTGTGACAAGCACCGCAGATGGAATTCATTCCCCACCACCCAGGCCCCAAAGGGAGGCTTGAAAATGCAAGGCAGGCTGCAGACGGTGCCTCTGGGGCTCTTCTTAGAGTGTCCCTTAGAATGTGTGCTTCTTGGGGCTGTTTTGGGAAGCGTCTGTCCTTGACCCTTCTCTCTCTCTCTCTCTCTCTCCCAGCCTCATCACTGAGGCTGTAATTTACCCCCATACACTGTGATCGCCACCCTCTGGAGCATTTTTCTGCATGACAAGAGTGAGTAGTGGGTGGCTGGGAGAGAGACCTGCAGAGTTTCACTTCAGGGATGTAGGTTAACCTGGTATTCACCATGGGTCTCCTCTCACCCTCCATAGCCGAGGCCATGAGAGGGAAGCTCACTTCCCACTCCCCAGATGACGAAGGGGGGACCATGCTCCAGGACAGAGCAAACAGGCGGGCAGCCCGTCACCCTGGAGGCCTCTGCAGATACCCAGGCCAAGTGCCCTTGCGATTCAGGTTCTGAGGTTCTGAGGCTCAGAGGCTGGATTATAAGTGACCACTGACAGGATTTAGACTTCCAGCCCCCATGCTCCTGCTCTGGGACGCTCTCCTTCAGGGATGACGTTAGAGGACTCAGAAGGCAGAGGCCATCAGGCTCACACCAGGAATGGTGCTTCTCAGACCAAATTTATAAACAACTAGGCCTTTCAACTGACTTATTTTAGTCGGTTTTACTTGCGATAGCTTAGACTTTAGTGTTTATCTTTCAGGCACTGGTTCACATTGATCTCACTTTTCTCATAAACCTGTCTGTGCCTGAATGCAGTTGAGCAAAAATTAGAAAAGCAATGGAACATCACTGCCTATTTGCGGGCTTAAATTCCCTTGGCCTAACCCATACCGTGTTTTGTGGAAAACTGAAACAATCTTATGTATAATGATTTGGACTTTATTTTTCTTTAGCAAACAGACTAAAGCTATTTAAAGAGGAATTTTATAACAAACTTTCAAAATATAGCTAATAGGAGACTAAAAATTAAAAGTTCCCCAACATAAAATTGTGAGAAATATGCAAAATAAAATGCTGGTTGCAACCACATAGAAGCAGAATGTTCAATATGAGAAGATTCATTAATGTAAGACCACACAAAAATGCATTTCAAGATAATTTCACATATGTTAATCTATTTTAATTAAGACATATCCTATGCTTTTAATCAGTAGCTCATGCTTGTATTTTTTGTAATAGTAAAAGACAACATGATGAGATAGCATTTTGGAAATTCCATTGGCCAAATTCTTTCATCAAGAACTAGCTGTCCCAGACAGACTGATTAATGAGAAGCCAAAAGACACAGCTAGAAGCTGTGTGAAGTGTAAGGCAGAAAGCCTCAGAGATTATAATTAAGAGCTGTCTGAAATCTTCAAAAGAAAAAGATTTCCAGAAGTCAGATGGAAGGGCTTGATACACACGATTATCACCACAGAAGAGCTCTCTGGACAAAACTCTTACTGTGTATTTGAGGCTATTTTCAAAGTGGGTAAGCTTGCTAGTTTATGATTTGGTCACTAGAATGAAGATGTTTATTTCAAAATTTATATGATTTTGTATATGTGTGTGCCTTTAAAATAAAATGCTGTGGCTTTGCCTTTGTAATCTCCAAAGTATCTTTCCACCATAGTAGTTTTGTACTGTTACTTTAGGATAACAGGATTCATTTAAATTTGTTCACTAGGATATTTCAGTCTTTTTTCCTCATCCTAGTGTTAAGGATCAAAACCTGGGCCTTATGTATGCAAGGCAAATGCTGTACTACTGAGCTTCGTGCCCAGTCCCTATAGTCTTAATCGAGGTGGGTAAATTGTTTAGAGACATTTATAAGAAGCAACCAAACATGATCTGTCTTGCTTGTTAAATTCACTAAACAACCAGTCTCAGTTTTTGAAGTTTTAAAATATCTTCATTTGCTAAATTCAGTGTTCTGGGGGATCAGAAAAATGGGCTATAAATTACAAAACACCAAACAAATATTTTTATACAGTCTAGACACAGCAAATTAAGGGATTCATGTTACAGAAATTTCTAGGAAAGAATCAGAATGTAGGATCCTTGTGTTTATTGCTACGATCCCAGCCAACATTCCTATTTGTTTTTATTTTTTATTTTTTGGTACCAGGGATCGAACTTGGGTCCTTGGGTTTGGAAGGCAGGCAGCAGAACCACTGAGCTAAATCCCGGCCCTCCTATTTTTAAAAAAATGCTTCAGTATGAAGAGGAACTGTCTGCTGAGCATCTACTTGCCCCACTGCTAAGTGTGTCTCCATTTAAACTTGCTCCTGTGAGTTATGAGTCCAAGGATGGAGAATATTATTGTTTTCAACAAGATGGTCACACGATCTTGAAACCCACTTGGAAGATGAAGCAAAGAACCTACTGGTAACCGACACATGATTCGGTGATCCCCAGCTGAGGAGACGACAAGATGAACATTTTCTAAAGAAAAACGAGGTAAGGGAGCTGGAAATGAAGTGAAAATGAAAAGGTATTCTTATTAAAGTAGGGCCAGCAGGAGGAAAACCAAGGAGGAACGCAAAATCTGAAAGTACCGCAGGTAAATTTTTCAACATTCGAAGGGCCGCATTTAGGTAATTCAGAGAAGCATTCAGGGACAAGGAGGTTACACGAAGAAGATCTGTTACTGAGGGGCATCGAGATTGTCCTGCCGCGCGGCCTGGGACCGACAGATGGCGCTCAGTGACCAGAAGGCTGGTGTGCAGCTTGGTACCAATCGGAGTCAATCACAGGTGCTTATTCTACTTTTGGGAACAGAAAGGTTTGGACCCACATTTTGAAACATTTTAAGGTTTGGATCCCATTTGGTTGCTGTTTTTGTGCCTTCCCTTCCTCCACCTTCCTGTCACACGGGCTTCTTCCAGTTCAGGGTCCTCACAGGGGGCAGAGGTGAGAGATGGCGGCACTTCCTGTAGCATCTCCGGTGAGTGAAGCAGAACCAACCAGGGCTTCTCGGTGCTTGCTAACGTGAAAACACTTTTCACATTTTACAGGAGAGGTCACCTGGGTTGGTCGTGCACGGGAACAGGCTCCCACAGAACCAGGCAAACTGAGAACACAATTTCCCTTCCTTTTTTCTTATTTATTTTTATTTATTTATTTCTGGGACTGGGGATTGAATTCAGGGCTTTGCACTTGCCAGGCACGTGTGGCACCACTGAGCTACATCCCCTCTCGTTTATTTATTATTTTAAAGGTCTATCCCACAAAACTCTAAAACAAAAAGATACAGGTACATCATATCAGGTTTGTGCTACCACTAAAATGTAACATCTGCGTGGCAATTTACATTTTATAAAGATCTTTTCTTTTGGTCTCCAACAATTTCAGAAGAGGCTACCTTGATTTACTAAAACAAAAAGTAGCAATAGCAACAACAATCAACCATTTTAGCCTCTGACAACTCCCCCTTCCCAGGCCAGTTATACATTAAACAAAAAATTCACCCAAAAAATATTTGCCTAGTTCATGGTATCTATATTTAGCTTGACTAATTCGAGTGGGAGCTGCAATAAATTAAATTTAGGACCCCAAATGTTCGATCATATGCTTGTAACAGAGGCAGAGGTGAATCTTTACAAAATTACCCCACAGCCCTTAATAACTGGGTTGCAAAAATCACTTGGCAATGGTTTTCCTCTTTTCCCCCGTGTGGTATAATTGGACCTTGTCCTGGTTTGTTTTCAAAATGTAAAACCTTGTTTAGGTATCAAACACAACCAGACATTAGATAGGCAGATGGTGAAAATGAACAGAACAAATCATGTTTGGCCAAAACATGGAAAAGACTTATTATTTCTTACCGGACTTTTCCTCTAAGAGCGAAGGCGTGCGGAGGAAAAATAAAGAGAACGTGAGCGAGTGACTCGTATCGTCAGGAAGAAACGCCCAGGCTCCCCGCTAAAGGCAGCCCCGCCTGTAAATGCTTCCCTAGCGCGTCCTCTGCTCCTACAGCCACTTCTGGGCCGTCATGATAAGTTCAGGTTCTGGAAGGGGCAAGGAGGGAGGCACGCGCTGTGCTCCTTTTCGAGCGCTTCACTTTTATCAGACAGATTTTTGCCTTGAAGACAGAAGTAGGCCTTGAACATTAGGAGGAGTTGGCACATGCCATGAATACACTGCGGCCAGGAATGGCTCAGGAAACCACATAAGATTTTTCCAGAAATTCCGTGTCTTGCTAGAGAAATTGGCATTACCACCTCTTCCCAATCACCACGGCTCCAGCTGTTAGTCCTCCTCTGACCCGCCTTTGCCCACCGCCCCATTTCATGAACAATTGCACATTCTTTTCTTGGCTAGCAGTCCCGGGCCCCTGAGAACTGCGGTCCTAGCAAGGCCCCGGGGTACCCGCTGACACTGGTGCTCCAGTTTCATCTCCCAACCCACCCTTCACACCATCCGCAGTCATTTCTCAGAGCCAGTGAGAGACGCTGTCATCCTGTCCCTCCAGTGCCTCCCTGGTATCCCCAGAGCAGAAGGAAAACTCCATGCTATTGCATCTGAAGCCTTCCGGATGGCTCCAGCTACCTCCTCCATGCCTCTCCTTCCACCATTGTCTTTTTTTTTTGTACTGGGGATCGCACTCAGGACCTTGCGCTTGCTCTTGTGAGGCAGGCGAGGCGCTGCTGAGCTAAATCCCCGGCCCCCACCACTGTCTGTTGTTTTTGAAGCCTGGCTGTCCTGCACCTCCACAGTGTGCCAGGCACTGGCTGCCTTCCTGCCTCTGCCCGCACTGGCTGCTTCTCCCTTGCTGGCCTCTCCCCTCCCCCTGGTCAAAATCACACTGGCTCTTCAAGGCCAGGGACCTTGCCTTTGAGAGAGCTTTCCCAAGCCTTGCAGTCAGAAGAAAATGTCCAGGGCAGGGGATTTAGCTCAGTGCTTCTGCTACCTGCCTCCCAAGCATAAGGTCCCAAGTTCAATCTCAGGTACCAAAAAAAAAACAGGAAAAAAAAAAAGTAAATGTCCCTTTCTCTTGGTTGATTGCAACACATTTGTTTTTCTCAAAATAATAAATATTGAAGGTTTTTGTTTGTTTGTTTTCCTGACATTTTCTAGCCTCGGGAAAATGGAGGTACCCGTAGCTAGTATATTTTTTGCAGTTCTTTTGTTCTGTATTATTTCCACATCTATGCAGTTAAGAATTCACAGTCGCCTTACATACATGTTCTCTCTGGCCCTGACCACGGGGCTGGGTGCAAAGTGGGCATTCAAAATACGTTTACGAATTCTCTTTTGGGGGCACTCAAAGTATGTTCCTGAATTCTCTTTTTTGGGGACATTAAAACATGATACAAGAGTTTGAAACAGTGTTACCGGAAATACGGAGAGGCGAGTCTCTCTCTAAGGTAGCGCTGAATTGCACGAGTCCCAGGCCCATGGTCCTATTTGTAAGGGTTCTTCCTTGGCCCCCATGAATCTCCCACTTAGCTCTTCCTTCGCGGTTAATCAGTCTCCGCCCACCCATTACAGAGGCCCCCAGGAAGTGTGTGGTGCCCTGTGAGCTGGGAGAGGGTAGCACACTCTGAATCACTTTCAGATGCGGGCCCTTCCTTCACAAGTGGGATGGAAACTACTGACGAGGTCTGAGTTCTCGATCTGCAGACCACCAGAATACTGGGATGAAATCGAATTGCTCCAAAGCGGGTGTCAGGGTGGGAGGGGGATGGTGAGATGTCATTCTCGGATCAGCCCCACCCCTTCTTGCCGGGTGTCCTCGAAAAGTCACACCGTGCCTCAATCGCGTGATTTGTGAGGCCGGGGTGATTGTTCCCGTGTGAGGAAGAGGACAGGGTGATGCTGACAGCTAACGTTCAGTGAGGACATATGGCGACTCTGCCTTGTATGGCTGACCTCCTCAGGGGCTCCGATTCACTGATGGAGAGGAGGAGGCTGGGAGAGCTCCAGGGCATGGATCCCAAGGGGACAGAGCTGGAGCTGGCTGCAGATCTCCGACTGCAGATGGTCTGGTCCAGGGTGGGCTTGGGGTCCCTGAACAGGCTGAACCCACCTTCTGGATCTGGAAACAACGGAGCTCAAGGCTTATAGATCATGGGTTTGGGAAAGAACCTTGGAACTTTCCAGTGGAGAGGGCTGAATGGATCACACCAAACAGTTACAGAGCGCAGGCCAGCGTGTCTAGGGCACTTTCAGTCACCGAGATCAAACTCTGATGATAGGGTTCATTTCTCATTCTTTCTTAGAGTCAAAGGCATTTTGTTCAATGCAAATAAGAAGAATAAGTGGAACATACCCTCACGCTAAGTGTTACCCTCACCTTCCTTTTTATAGTTTCCACCTGGCCCACGTGATACATGCAACCACCTTTATTTAAGGTGTGGCTTTGATGTGGCACCTACCAACACTTAGGCTATGGCCTCCTGACTGGAGGGTGGCTTCAGAACATGTAAAAACAAAGCAAAAAGCAGAACATGACAATTTTCTTTCAGGGAAAACAAAAACATTGCTTGAGGTGAGCTAATGGCATTTGAGTTGATTTTTACAGAAGAGATGTAGGCTTCTGGGCTTAGCTGGGAATAGACACAGAGCAAGTATGCTTTGGATTGGACAGAACAGTTACATACGGGCACCCACTGAATGGGCTTCTGCAGCAGGGGTTTTCCTGTCCCCTGGACTAAGAAGACCTGGAAGTCTTAGCAAAAGATAAAAGACAGGGGACCCATCTGATCGGCAGCTCTACAGGGTCAGACTGACCCTTGACCCCCACAGAAGTGTGGCAATGCAGGTACTCATTCAAGTTAGGCTTTGTGAAGGCTACGTTTCTGCGGGAGGGGCTGGAAACCAGCAGTGTTTAGAACTGGATTCTGTGTGAGCGCAGAGCTGAGGCTGCAGTGATGATGGAGAGAGCCTGTTCTGGACTTTGCCTCCACGGTCCCCACACGGGATTCATTCCCTGAGCTCAGCCGCTTAACAAGGGGCCCAGCTGCCCGTGGGAGTTTGTGGCACCAGCTGTCACCAAGTGCGATCCAGGCACTGGAAGCTGGGTTTGATGTGTGAGTTTTTTCAGAGTCAGGAGCAGCTCAACTTTAAAAACAGAACAGCTGTATTCTGGACTTTAATATTTTAACTAGTGAAATTTGATTATAAAATAATCTCCTTTTAATTATTTATGGCCACTCAGGCATTCACAAAGAGCAAAATGTTTATTTATTCATTTACTAAGCCACTAACAGCTATTTCCCTGAGCACCTAATAAATATCCAACACAATTCCAGGCACATTAGTAAACAGGAGATAGTAAAAAATAATTGATGCAATAAGGCAGCAAAGTATTAAGTGTTTTAGAAGATAATGCAATTTTAAAAAGTGGGGCAGCTGCGAGAGACAGGGAAAAAATGCCACCTTCCTTTCGTTTAGAAATAAAATTTTCCTCATCTCCGAGAAAGTATTTTTGGATATAATTAATGTAGGTGATTCATATTCTAATTTTTCTAAAACAATGAAAAGTTACATTGATTGCTATAATTTCTGACCCTAAAAAAATCATCAGAGGGCAAAGAGATACAATGGGTTTTTCCTTATAGTGTTCTACGTATTTCACTCTATTTTTCAGGCATTTATAGAAACTTCTTAGTATAAAAATAATTATGAGTTTAAGAAAGGTAATCAGACACCTGGTGCTCAGGACTTAGGGTCACAAAGCCACAGGGAACCCCAGGCTTCAGATGAGAAAAGACCTCCTGTGGAGGGCACAGGTAGAGGGGAGAACAGCAGATAAAAGCCCAGGTCCTACAGAAAGCACACTGGTCAACTTCCACGAAGGACTCTGAGAGAAGTGGTAAGAGAAAGGGAACGATTGCTGATGATACCCATCTGTCCAGCAACGCGGAAACCTTGTTGAGTTGAAGGGGAAAGGATCTTAGAAGTTTGGAACTCTAAACTTGCTCTATTTACATCCTTTTATATAAAGAATGCGAACTGTACCAAAGCATGGCCAGGCACCGAGTTCCCCACAACCGTCGGGGGTGAATCCACCCAGCGGCACATCAGGCTGTTCCAGGCCCCTGTCCTGTGTCGCGCAGGGCCTTGGCTCTGGAAGTAGCCTAGCAAGAACCCCCCACTCCATAAGCTGTTCTCAAATTATGCTTCTAGTAAAAACTTATTTTCCAGGTTAATTGCTGCCTTCCAGGACCCCTGCTACTCTGGCTCTGGCTATTAGTTACTAAAAATAGTCTTAAAATTCTAAACTCTACAGGAGGGCCACACAATCAAGGTAGAAGAATTCACAAGCATGAAAATTAGCCTTTTAAAAAATTACAACTGACATTATAACTAAAAGCAAGTAAATGAAGAATTTGTTACTGTGAGCCCACCTGACATTATGCGTCTACATGGCAGTCTCATTCTATTAGACTTTAAATTGGTGGCAGAAATTGGGTGTTTGTGGTTGCCAGCAGGGTGCTCAAACCCTCACATAGGGAAGGGTCTGGAGCTTGGCAAGGAAAATCCGACTCTTCCACCTCACACAAGGAAACCAAATACCACAGCCTATGAGGGTCCAACCAGCACGAAGCCGAGCAGTACTGACAGAGGTGGTCCAGATGCAATCCCGGACACTTCACTATTTTCAGGGAGATCAAAACATACTTAAGGGTTCCTCTCCAAAGTAGGGTGGGCAGGAGAGGCTTGGAATATGATACTGTAATTTTACAGGTCAGGAAATGGGAGCAGCAGAAAATTCTCCAGGAAAAACAATTTCATAATGAAGGCAAGAAACAACGTACGTTAGACGAGACCCAAAATTCATTCTTCTGCAGGCAGTGTGTGGTGTTTTAAAATGTAGGAAAAAGGGCTGGGG